CCATATTATCATAACATCTTGGATTGGTAGGGAATAATTGTCACAGTTGATGAGCCAATTATTATTAGCTGAAGTCCATAGTTGCCAGTGAGCTCACTGTGCTGTGCAGTTCTATAAGATCTGGAACATGTGTGATGACATGTATCTACTATAACACAATCACACACAGTAGCTTCACAGACCTAAAGATCCCGTGCTCCGCCTGGTTGGCCGCATGCACCCCAAATCCTGGGCAACTATTGATGTTTTTACTGTCTTCCTAGTTTTGCCTTTTCCAGAATGCCATCGGGTTGGAATCAGATAATATGAAGACTTCTCACTCTGGCTTTTTTTTTTCCAGAATGCTGTGTGCATTCATTGACATGTCTCCCATCTATGTCTCTTCATGGTCTGACAACTCAATTCTTATTTTCACTGAATAGTAGTCCATGGTGTGGATGTAGCACACTTTGTTTATCATTCACCGATTGAAGGACATCTTTGGATTTTTTTCTAAGCTTTGGCAAATGTGATTAAGGTTGTCATAAGCATTCTTGTGCAGGTTTTTGCATGGAAGCTAAGTTTGCAACTATTTGGGTAAATAACTCAGTATGCAATTGCTTGATTATATTAATTTTACCAGAAATCAACAAATTTCCAAAATGGCTGTACCCTTTTGCTCTCCCATCTGCAATGACAGAGAGTTCCCGTTGCTCCACATCCTCACCAACATTTGGTGTTGTCAGTGTTCAGATGTCGGCTATTCTGGTAGGTGTGCTGAAATGTTGATTTATGTGCAATTCCCTAATGACCTGATGTTGAACATCCCTTTATGTGCTTATTTGTCATCCATGCATCTTCTTTGTGAGGTACCTGCTCAGACCTTTAGCCCATTTTTTTTAAAGATTTATTTATTCATGCATACAAGAACCAGGGCATAGGCCAGATGTGTGGAAGGGTGAGGGGATTCACCAGAGACAGAGCAGGGAACAGAACAGGCAGACTGACTGAAATACACTGCTGAGGGGAGCAGCGAGGTGAGACAGGAGAGGTCTCCGTGCCATGTGGGATTCTCGCCAGCTGGCGGGGATCGAATCGGCGCTGCAGAGGCTGTGGACAGCTTCACAGCGCTGTGCTCAACCACCTGCACCACCAGGGGAGGCCCATTTTAGCCCATTTTTTAATTGAATTATTTGTTTTCTTACTGTTGAGTTTTAAGAATTCTTTGTCTATTTTGGCTACCAAGTCTTTATCAGATCTGTCTTCCACAAATATTTTCTCCCAGCCTGTGGCTTATGTTTTCCTCTTAACATCCTCGCACTTTTCATGCCAGAATCTTCTCATGTAATCCTCCCCCATCCTGTGAGTTTTATGGTATTGGTTCCATTTGGCTAAGGAACCCAAGGTTAAGAGATCAGTCGACTGTGAAGTGATGGAGCTCAGATTGGAACCCAATCTGACCACAGCTCATGCTTAACATCACATATTAAAGGTGTATCCTTCTTGCCACAGGTTAACCCAGGTGGTCCTTTCATGCTAAAATGCTCCTTTACAGTCTCAGGGAATAGAGTCTGTGTTTGGATGCCCTTCAGAGCCCAGGTGACTTACTTCTAAGGATCTTTATATGACTTGGGGCACCCTCTATGGTGTAAACCCCATCTAGCTCACCACCCAGCCCCTTCTCCCATGCCAATCCCCTCACGGTGTGTTCACTAGACAGGACATGTTTGTGGGTCTCCCAATGTGCTTGTTGTTTCAGTATCTCTCCTTTACTCATGCCGTTCCCGCTGATGGAAAAACCCTTCCGCATTCTCAATGGCCAAGCCTTACTCACTTTTTCATTCTTCCTTCGCGTATCACTTAATAAAGTCCTCTCTTCCCCACTTTCTGCACCTTGAAGCTCCACTTTGGAGTACAGTCTGTCTCCCCCACAAACTGCTAAAACATGTCACTTTGACCACACTTTCTTATCCCATTCAACAAGCCTGCACATAGTAGGTGCTCCATGAATATGTCCTTAAATGAATGGACTTCCCTACCTTTCATCTTGAAGCCTTTAACTAAAAAAAAAGTTTGTTTCTTTTTGTTTTGTTTCTAATCATCTTTCAGATTTTTAATTTCATTTTATATTAAAGAAAATCCCCTTTCAACATTTTAAACCAGAATCTGTTTCCAATGCTATAGCCCCCAAGGGCAGGCATAACTTAATAAATAAAGGAGATTTTTGGGTCGATAAGTCATTAGTAAGACCATGAGTGAAAGCAGAATATGCATTTTCCCTTTTGAAAAACTGGAGAGTGTTTGTAACCACTGCTAACAAGGCTTGGTGTCCTGCACTCAGTCAGGCGCGGGACTCTGAATCCCTCTGGGTGGGGTGCCCCCCAAGAGTCCCACTCTCTAAGACCAAAACTGTGGACTTACCACTTGCACTGACTCCAGGAATAACACCTGAAGATGTTAGTGGTCCAGGGATGGCTCGTCGTGTGGGATGTGCGGGGACTTGGGGCTGACACCTAAGATGGAATCCCTGTTCTGCTACTTACAGGCTGTGTAACATGGGCAACTTGCTTCACCTCTCTGAGCCCTAGTTTCTTAATCTGTGAAATGGGAGAATAATAACACTGACTACGGTGTTTTGATAACCTATAGAGCTATTCTGAGGAATAAGTCATTGAGTGAGACGCCGAGAGGGTCATGTCAAACTTCTCCTCTTCACAAGCCACTCCCTCACCTACCTAAGGGGAGGGCTCTAGTTCCAGTTGACTCTAGAGGCATCTACTGCCTCTGCTTGCTTTCACTGAAGCGCTTCCCCCCAGAGAGTAGAAAAGTAGCATCCTGTGTGTCTCGGTGCCAACACAGTGCTCTGGCCCATGGCAGATGCTCCGGGTTAGTTCTGCATTAGCGTGTTAATTACCAGAGGTAGGGCCTCCCTGGTGGCGCAAGGTGTTAAGCACCACACTATGAAGCAAAAACGCAGCCTCTGCAGTATAAGTTCAATCCCTGGCCGGCCAGAGAGAATCCCACAGGTGCAGCAGACCTCTCCTGTCTCGCCCGCTGCTCCCCTCAGCAGTGTCTTTGGTCCGTCTGCCTGTTCTGTTCCCTACTCTGTCTCTGGTGAATCCTCTTGTCCCCCACACCTCTGGCCTATACCCCAGTTCTTGCATGCATAAATAAATAAATCTTTAAAAAAAAATTATCAGAGGTGGTTTGTACCCACCCCATTCCCCAGTTATTCATCCATACTGCAACCCATTGCTTGCCTTCTCCTGCTCAACGACCTGGAACAGGTTGCATTGCTCAGTCTATTGTTAGCTGGGGCTGGCTGGGGCTGGCCACCATGTGTGCTGGAGGGAGGCTGTGGTGGGAGAAAGGCAGAAGCAGGGGTATGTCTCCCCCTCTATCTTAATCACAGGCGCCTTCTTTAGCAGTGAGCGAAGCGCTTCCTCTTTTCCAGCTCCCACCAGAAAGGCCACCATGGCCCTAGTTTCCACATGTTTCCCAGCCCCGGAGTGCTGGTCACCCTGCCTCCCCCCTCTCTCTCTCTCTCTCTCTCTCTCTCTCTCTCTCTCTCTCTCTCTCTCTCTCTCTCTCTCTCTGTTACACCGAGGAGGCAGGGGGTCCTCCTGGGGGCTTATCTCTGAGCTACCTCACCCTCCTTGGCTTCACAGGTCTTCCACCACCCAGTATCCGCTCTGTGCTTCATCCTTCTGCTGTGACCCTCGAAGTGGTGTCTCATCAGCTAAGGCCCATCTCCACAAGTGGGAGTCTCTGAACTCAGTTAAGCGAACACCACTCTTCCAAGCTCCACCATCCCCTGACCGTGGGGACAGGCAGTCTTTGTGAGCCTCAGTTTCCTGATCAGTAACAGGAACTCAATGCGCCCTCCCTGCCCACTCCCAGGATGGGTGTGAGAGCCCAGCGAGGTCACCCTTTGCGCATTATTCACCAAGCACTCCCCGAGTCCCTGGCCCTGCTGTGCTGTTGTGGAGGTGCTGGGGAGAGCACAACAACCAGAGGGGGAAGGCCCAGTTCACAGGTTCCAGGCTGAGTAATAGATGTGCTTTTGCAAAGTGCTGTGGACGTCTAAGAGGATAAGCTGACCTGGCCTCCCCTGAGAGCCCTTAGGGGTGCCCAGAGGCCTCGAGACAATTTGCTGGGACCCACCTGCACACCTCAAGTAAGGCGGCCTGGCCGTGAGTGCAGGGACATGCGGTGACATGTGCAGTGTCCAGGGCGGCCAGCCGAGCCCCTCCCCCAACACATCCAACCAGCGGGTTCTGTTCGCAGGTGTCTGTTCACACCTGGGAGCTGACTCCGATAAATTGTAAAGGAATAGTACGATTGTTTTGCTGTACTAGATGTTTTTAATGGGTTTTATTTGGTATTATTTGAAGTAAGTGTGCCATCAACTAAAGCCTGCAAGTCTTGTTTATGCCTAGATTGTGTTTGAAATGCTCTTCTCTGTAACGTGGTGGTTAGTTATTGATGACCTCTTTTATAATGACTTGGGCGGCTTCCCTTGAATGATGGTATCGTTAACAGTATGTGACCGGCAATCTTTTTGTGACAATACTCCAAAAGGCAAAAGAAAGGCAATTTGTGCATCTGTAGAAAATAGGTAAATTTGCCTTTTTAAAGCAAGCATGAAAATAGAGCATATTCATTCCGAGTCAACACTCCTCACAGCCCAAGTGTGTCATATGCTGTCCCTTACGTTGTCCCTGCAGAGAAGGTACTTCCATCCCCATTTTCATGACAAAATGACTAAGACTTAAAGAAGCAGGTGACATGCCCAGGTAAGTCAGGACAAAGCCAGAACCAGAAGGGCAGATGCTTTTTAAGGGACAGTAAACTCTGAGCCTCCCCTCATCTGTAAATGGGCATAATAACTAAGGACAGGGCTGGGGTTAAAGGAGGTTTTTCAGGCAAAAGCCCTGTGGTGCTGGTACGGTGATTAGAAAATGACAGAGCTGGCCCCCTCCTAAAGTCCTCCTTCCCCTTGTTTTCTTCTCTCTCTGCAGATGACCATTCCCGAGTGAGGCTGCTGGTGTTGGATGGAGACCCACATTCCGACTACATCAACGCCAACTACATTGATGTGAGGGTCTTGATGGATCTGGTAACTGGGGCCTGGGGTTGGCTGCAGCAGGCTCAAGATGTGGCTGTCGCCCAGCTCCCTCCCGGAAGCTGGCTCTCCAAGCCACCTTGCTCCTCCCTGATTTGTGTCACTGTTATAACCCATGTTGAACATCCATGTAAAGCTGCATCCTCTTGCAGGCTGGCTGGAGTAACCTGCTCTGGGCAGGACCCAGGACAAGTGCCAGTTTGTCCAGACACCCATGCGTGCATTTCTGTGTGTGTGTCTATTTGTTCATCCGTTTGTTCATTCATTTGAAGGTATAGTCATTTATCCAACAAAAAATTTAAAGTGCCTACTGTGTGCTGGATGCCATGGAACCCATAAAACTAAAAGTGCATGGTCTCTACCCTCTCCAGCCTTAGCAGGATGATAAGCTGTGCACATCAATAATTCCAGGGCAAACTGGATAGTGCTAGTGTCATAAGTTCAGATAAATTGCTTCAGGGATTCAGAGGTATATAAAAAATTGTTTCTTCTATCAGGAATGCAAAATATGATCTGGACCAAAGCCTCAAGCACAGAGAGAATTTAAAATCAAAGAGAAGGGGCTCTGGCTAGAGAGAACAGCACAGTGAAAATACAGCTGCTGGGAGCAGAAAATATAGAGCTGTTCAGTTAGAGGGGGGTAGAGATTATATGCGGGGACTAGGAGAAATTAGAGTCGGAGTTAGATTGTTGATGGTTTAGAAGGATTTTATCCTGTTAACAAGAGAAAGCTATAGAAATTTTTTGATCAAGTTGGTGACCTGTTCAGAGCTGAGCTTTGGAATGATTTTTCTACCACCAAGTGTAGGAGGGATCCGGACAGGAGACTGAAATTAAGATACTCAGGCGAGGGACTTTAGTATTGCAGAGACTGTGGAGGGAAGGGCTCAGAACAAGAGCCAAGCTGGAGGGCTATGGAACTGAGCGAGTTTGCAAAGGGAGAGATGGGTGCTCGGTGGACATCCCTGGGTGACAGGTGCAAACCAAGCTTCTCAGGACCCCAGCTAGGAACCCAAGGAGGTTGGTGAATGGCTCAGAGGTCCACCCTGGTCCTTCTGCCTCTCCAGTGCATTGTAGACAGGCTAGAAAGTGTGTGGCATGCTTCTGAATTCCCCATAATCTAGTCTGAGCCAAATGACTCATTAATCCAACAAGCTTTTATTGAACCTTATGCTGGTCATTTGCCTGCTTGCCCTGAGATCTCTTCCTTGTCCTCTCCCGCTCTTCTTTGCAGGTATGAGAGAGAGAGAGAGAGAGAGAGAGAGAGAGAGAGAGAGAGAGAGAGAGAGAGAGAGAGTGTGTGTGTGTGTGTGTGTGTGTGTGTGTGTACACACAAGGAGGCGAGAGAGCTGACCCCTTCAAGGGCAGCACTTATGGGAGATGAGAGGTAAAATGCAGAGAGAAGCCTATGTATTTCTCCTCCCTTCTACCTCCCCTGAGTGGCTGCCTCCCATCTGTGACTTCAGTTTCCATCAAGCTGGCACCAGAGTTCCAGCTTCTGCCAGGTGGCACCAGATCCTGGGTCCTGCCCACTCTTTCTCCTGCTACACTGTCAGTTAACTCTAGAGGTGGGCACAGCCTCCTGCTTTTGCTGATCTCTGAGCTATCCCTCCAGTCCCTGTTTAGCACCTCAGTTCCTCCATTACCTGTATAGCCAAGCCCCTATACTGAATTACCTCTGTCTGAAGCATCTAGAATGCTTTTGTTTTCCCACTTGGGCCCTGGCTAACAAAAGGCCAACATGGTCTGGGGCTGGAGCCTCAGTGAAGGTCAAGATGGAACATTCTTGGCCACTGTGACCCTGCTGGGAAATTCACCTGGACATGCCCTGTTCAGAGCAGCCTGTCTCGAGCCTGGAGGGAGACCCTCTGGGTATTCACCCGTGATACCTTCAGCCATTCCCTCGTGCATTTAGTATTCATTTCACAAAGGCTGGGCAGATCCTCCACAGTATGCTGGAAATACAGTCCCTAAAGGGATCATATCTGGTGAGGGATTAAGATAAGAGGCCCTCACTGAGCAGAGGCTGTGGCGACACAAGGGAGAAGCAAAGTCTTGAGTTTGGGTGTGACGAGATCAGGGGGGGAGCCTGGCAGGTGCAGGGATCCAGGGACCACTTGATGAATTATGCACAAAGGGTGACCTCACTGGGCTCTCACACTGATCCTGGGAGAGAACAGGAGGGGCGCTCTTAGTTCCTATTACCAGTCAGGAAACTGAGGCTCACAAAGACTGTCCCCATGGCCAGGGGATGGCAGGGCTTGGAAGAGGGGGGTTCTCTTAACTGAGTTCAGAGGTTTCTAGAGGGGTCTCTATGGAGACTACTGGCGGGACACATCCCACTCAGCTGTCTAGGTCTTCAACCCTTTGTCCTAGTCTCCGCCGCAGCTGGGATCATCCTCACTCTCCAGGGAGCTCACTGCCCACGCTAGAATCACTTATTCACAATCTGATCTTGACAACCCATTAAAATGACTCCATTTGTACAATGAGCTGGATGCGGCCAGTCCCCTCACCGCCTCCAGAGGCCGTGGCTCTGCTACATCCCAAGCATCCCGTCAGTGGGTTTGTTTGCACACCCGAGAATGTATTGGCCACTTGAATCTGTTATAAATTACCAGTCTGGAAATAAATATCGTATCTGGGTCCCCAGTAAGTAACAGATGCATGAGTGCAGAGTGAGATAAATGTGTTTTGGATGCAAACCTCTTTCCCATTGCTCATAGACAGATGGAGGCAGGCCCAGTGCTGGTTTGCATTCGATCTGCGTGCTGTGGAGGGGGGGACTTACATGAACTTAAAGTTCTTTTCAGGTTAGAAAGTTTTCTGTACCAGCTCTTGGCAAATCCCCAGAGGGGCCCCAATCGAGCAGTATATTTCCTTTTATCTCCATTGATAAGGAGTCTCGTTGTTAGAATGTTTTCTCTTTGGGGACTGTATGGATTCTTGGAGGCCAGAGAGGATCTGTTTATACAGGTTCAGCATGTGGACAGGACACAGCACGCAGACCTGTGCACAAGGATTCCACGCACATGTCATTCATTTTATATGTATTTGTGGGGTCAGTGGCACCAGGCCATCTTCTCTGGGGTCGGGAGATAGCCAGGAGCAAGCCAAAAACCACCCGGCCCTGTTGGAGCTCTTATTCAAATGGGAAAACAGACAATAAGCTTGTGAATAAATGAAGAGCATTCTAGCACTTGTTGATAAGTGCCCCACAGAGTGGCAAACCAGTAAAAGCAAAAGAAGCTGACGGGGAGGTCAGGGAAGGACTTTCTGAGGAAGGGACAGACAGCCCAGCAGAAGCCTGGACTCGGGGAGAGAACTTGCCACCCCATCATCAGGGAAAGGCACAGCAGGCAGAAGGAATGGCCAGTGCTAAGCCATCTAGATGGAGGCATGACTGCAGTTTATGAAGAACAAGATGGCCAAGGAGCTAGAGAGTGACTGGTAGTAAAACCAAGATATTGCTGAAAGGATGACACCCCGTCTAGGCTTAAGAGGCCATTTCAAATTTTTACCATCTCAGACACTACTTCTCTGGCCCCGTTGGCTAAGTCAGCTCCCCATAGGAGTTCCACCAAGCCCCACATCTTCCTCTTGGTAGTCCTTACCCCACTTAGTTGATGTTTATAAGCTGCTCAGAAAGGAAGCCCCTTAGCCATCTGGTCTACTTTGGCATTCCTAATACCCTATACAAGTTCTTAGTAGGTGCTCAATTAATGGCTGTTTTATGCCTATTGAGTGACCGATTACAAATGACAGTAAACTCAAAGTCATCTATCCCCACAACTAAATTGTTAATTTCTTGCTCCAAATTTCATCCTGCTGGCTTTCAAGCGCATTTGACTCTTCCAAATCAGTGCACAACTGTATGGCATGTCTCATGGACCAGAGGAGAAGAGTACAAAAACCTTACTGCGGCATGAGCTGCAAGTGTGTTCATCAGGCATATGAAGAGCCCTGCAGGTCTGCTCAGGAGGAAGAAGGTCTCATCTGAAGCACAGTGTAGAAAGCTAGGACAGAGGTGCAAGGGTTGTAGGGGGAGACAGAGAGAAGCTACTGGAAATGAGGCTGGAGACAAAGATGGAGATGGGTGGCCAGCCAGAGCTAAGGCACATGCAGGCAGTGGGGAGCCATTGCAGACTTTAGGTGGAGAAGCAACCTCAGCAAATGTGCTTGGGAAGCTCACTCTGGCAGGATGCATATGGGCTGTTGGACGAGATTGGAGGCAGGTAGGCCAGCAAGAAGTTCAGGTAAGGGAGGACAGGGGCTGTGCAAGCATGTAATGATGGGGATGGGGGAAGAGGAAAGACAGAGACACTGCATCTTCCCTTTCTCTAGGGGATTATTTTCTGTTCCCAAACCTCCTCAAGAAAACTTCCAGAGTCTAAGTGTCCCTGTGAGCTGGGGAAGCCCAGTTGAACTCAATTTGGAGGCACAGACAGCTCTTCCTATCTCTCACTTTCCTTCCTACCTAACGTCTCAGAAAAAGGCTCAGTTATCACCTTAATAGGAGAGCAGAGGGGAGGGAAAGGCTTACAGCCTTGGAATCTCCCCAGTAGCCAGCAGAGACTTTTAGCACAGACGTCATTCAATAAATGCATGACAGATAAACAATAAAATAACAATAGCAAAGACATATATATTAAGTCTTACAGTAATGCCAGTAACTGTCATATGTCAACTCATTTAATCCCAAAAGCAACACTAGAATATAAATATGATCGTTCTCATTTTACAGAAAAAATTGAGGCAAAACAAGGTTAAGAAGCTTGCCCCAGACCACACAATGTCTCAGGGAAAGAGCCAGGATCGAACCCTGGCAGTTGGCTCCAGTGGCTGCGCACATGGCCTCCACGCTGTGCTGCCATTTGAGTTGGTTTCTCAACAGCTTGTTTATTGGACCTTTGTTCTGAGCCTCACACTGTGCTAGGCTCTTTGTAAATTTTTTTGTAAACTTAGGAGGTAGGTTTTGGCCTCAAAAAAACTGGCAATCTCATTAAGAATTTAGGACCACTCAAACAAAGAGTTTGGTGGGGGCTGTTGATTCCTATGTAGTTCATCTGGTGGTTCTGGCACTGATGTTGGCCTTGGGTTGGTGCTGACAATCAACCAAGTCATCTCTAGAGTGTGCCCAGCAGCTAGACGGTGCCTATTAAATAGTCATGAAGCAAGTAGAAGACTGAGGCAGAGAAATGCAAGGAGACAAGAAACTAGTCTTTGAGTCAGAAGATGGTTCCAGAACTCAAAGGCGCCATGTCTGTTTCACCATAAATTATACAGATGTTGATTCTGATTCTTCCCTGAAGGGGGGCTTGACACAGCTCATCCACTTTGCCGGGACTAAACACCCCTATTAAAAACAAAAATAGGTATTAATGAAACTTTCGGACTTTTTGCCTCCTGAGATGGCTAACCACGGGGAAAGTAGATTTCTGGACTGTCAACCTCTGTAGCAATAGGTACCATAATTGGCACGCCTTTTATTTTCTTAATGTGTGCATTTCTCCATTCATTCACTCATTGATTTCATTCATTGAATACTAATTTTGTTCAATGTCATAAACTAAATGTAGATCTGCTCCCCCCAAAACTTGAACTTCCACCCAATACCATATACTTCTCTGTAACAAAAAATGGGGCCCTCCATGTATGCCTCCATGCCCCAAAAAAAGAGGTCACCTTCAGTCCCTTCCCCCATGATGAGGGTCATGGGGCATGAGAGTAACTGCACCCCACTGGAAATGAACAGAGAAATCAGAAACTGGTGTGTGAAGCAGAAAGTGGCTTTATCAGTCCTCAGGTCACACCTCCATGGGGTTCTGTTCACTTATGGAGACCAATTCTAAGCGTGTCCATGTCTGCACAGAGAGGCGATGTGGCATCCTTCCCAATTTTCTTTTTCTAATTGTTGCTAATGGGAGGAGCCATCCATGCAATTGTTTTCATCTCTAAGACGTTCCACAAGGTGCAATACTCTGCCTGCAGTTGTAGTTCAGGAAAGGTTTTTAATAGCCCACAGAAACCTGCAAATTCCTTCCCCATCTCTTTCTTGGAGCACAGACATAAGTAATGCCCACCCCAATATTTGTTCCCAGTTCTCTGGCTCCAGGACAAGCCTGTATGGGGATCTCCCAAGTAACCATAATAGTGGCTAATACTCAGTGATTTACTGAGCACTTTACATGCATTATCTTATTTAATCTTCACCATTTTTCTGGGAGATGTCTATGCTCATCCCCATTTGCCTTTGAAGAAGTGAAGTCTTGGGAAGGCTAACTATAAATATTAGGCTGTTTGCAGGCTTTGACCAGAAACCCTTCACTGTGTTTTTCTTCTGTTTTCCAGGGATACCATCGACCTCGGCACTACATTGCAACTCAAGGTAAGTGTCCTTCAGTTCCTCTAGGGACTTTTGCCCTTTCCTGGAGGAGAGGAATGAGATGAGCTTCTGCCAGCGAAGAACTCACATAGGAGTAGGGCTGCAGAACCTACAGGGGTCCTCGAGATTATTCATTTGGGAAGGAAAAGGGTGACAGTTTCTGATATGGGAGGCGGGACCTGAGTGAGCAAGGAAGGAAATGTCACCACTAGGAAATGATCAGGAAAGATGGGCCCAGGGAGGACAGACATCAGGCCAGGGCATCAATACCCACCGTCCAGATGTGGAGCTCATGGTGCCTTATCTCCTCGATGGGTTTGTGTCCAGAAGACAGAAGCAGTCAACTGGCCTGGAAACAACTTGCCAGCATCTTGTCAGGTGGCTAAATGTGGTCATACCTCTCTCAAACCCCTTCTGGCAGGAGATTCTGTGGGTAATTCTATATGGATAGTGACTTACTCATAAAGAAACGCCTCACAGTATTATCTATAATGTGGAAAAAACAGCCGGCTCCTGGCAGCCATCTGTCTGTCTCTCCTCCCCATTCAATTTCCTTTCCTTTCTCACCAAGGTTACAGAACCCAATTTTTACAAACCCCCTTAAGCTGTATTATTCGTGCACAGTGTTGTCCAGATATAGTGATGAGTTCAGGAGAGGCAGCGGAAACGGTCAGGGCAGAAGAACAAGAAAGGGAAGGAGAGTGGCTCCTGTGTCCAGCAGATGCTCCAGACCATGCAGGTTTGGAGAGTGGATTTTTTTATCCACACTCTGACCTCGCGCGCCCCAGTCTGCAGTCTCAGCTACTCAGGTGTCCCAGCGTGGGTCACCTGCTCTCAAGCTCGCTCACCAAAGGTGGAGCCTCCACTGACCCAGCAGGAGGAACAAACAGCCCCTTGGCTACTTCCTGTCCCCGGCGTCTTTGACCCTGTGACCTTCTCTGTTGGCAGGTCCAATGCAGGAGACAGTAAAGGACTTTTGGAGAATGATCTGGCAGGAGAACTCGGCCAGCATCGTCATGGTCACAAACCTCGTGGAAGTGGGCAGGGTAAGCCCCTCCAGCAGTCACCTGGGCAGAGGATGCCCGCCTCTGCACACCTGAGCACCTCTGTGCTCCGTGCGTGGTGCCAAGTGCCTCCTGTCTGGGATTTCACCCTCACTGCCACCCGCAAGGAGAAATCCCCACTCCTACTTCCCTCTGGAGGAGGGAAGCCTCCATCCTTTCCCTCCAGCCTGCATCCCCCACCCTCCACCCTCCCACGCCATCGACGATGTCATCTCATAGTGCTTGAGGAAATGAGAGTCACCAGACATGAACGCTCACCTTCACGCCGCAAAGCTGCGTCCCGCTTGTCGCCACAACCATCTTCTCCTTCCTTCCACCTGCGATCAGGCTGAACTATCAAATAAGAGCTGTTTCCTTTGACCCCAAATCAGCCGTTTCTCATGGCTCGGCCTAATACAGTGGAAGAAGTGGCTTCTGCCCTTTCGAAGGAATCCTAGTGCCTGGAAAATCAGGTGCTGCCGGAGAATTGCTTCATTTTCTCTCTCTCGTGGAAAAATAAATCTTTCTCGTTGATAGAGTATTCCCCTCAGCGCATAAACGTGCTGGGGACCTTCCTCCTTAAAAAAGAGACAACAGGCAAACTAAGCGATTCTTTTGCCTCTACCTTCCTGCCACACTTTCAAGGCCCGCACAAGGCTCTGCTTGTTTACCATGTTCTCTTCTACCTGATGCTACACTGCCACCCCCACACCCCACCAAGAATGAGACGTCAGTGTCACCCCATCTTCCATGCCGATAAAGTCAGAAGCCGCTTATCTCATCATGCTCAACCTCTCAGTAGCTCCTGCTCTTCCTCCCCTGACCTCTAATCCCAGACATTCTGCAGGGTTCAGTCTTCGGTCTCCCCTCTGCTCTGTCTCCTGTCCCCTCTGTGGGCCCTAGCTGGTCGCAGGGCTTAGAAGAGGGGCGGCTACTCCCCACTTGCTTTTGTCTAACTGGTGAACTGTGATGCGTGGGTGGGCAGGCTGAGGGGTTTGAAGGTCAGAGACACAAGCAGCAGGACTCAGAGGCCTCCCCACTGAACATATGAATTAACCAAGGAGCAGGCTGGTGTACCTTTTGTTTTGTTTTGTTTTCGTTGGGCAAGAAGCAGGTATCTGTTCCTGTAAAGAACAGATTTCCTTGGCCTCCAAGGACATGGGAAAGAGAAAATGTGGTTTGTCAGTAATAATCCAGTAAGAGGGCATGGCCAACACAAGGCCTGGTAGGCGTTCAGTGTCAGGAGAGACTTTATTCTTGTGCCCACTCCTTACTGGTCCACTCTCCTGTTTTACAGATGAGGAAACAGACCCCAGGGGCAATGGAATGTGACTCCCCTGAAGTCTCCCGGGCACAGTCACTAACTCTTGGCTCTGCTTCCAGTGCTCATGCCAGGTGCTCAGGGCTGCTCTGCAGGGACACAGGGTCAGCTTCTGTGGCCGCAGGGGCCAGCCCAAGATGCACAACTCAGAGGTGCACTCCAGCCTGTCCCCTAGCAGAGCCCACAGTGGAGACAGAGGCCCTCGGAGGACAGCTCTTAGATGTAGTTTGCATCTGGGGAGGGCACAAGAGAGCAATCGCTTGATGGAACTTGGTCCAGGAGCCACACGCATGCCAGACGCTCCTTGGACTTCCTTCATCTTGTCACAGCCTCGGTGTTCCTGGCAATTACTCACGGCCTGGCTAATACCCTGACACCATCCAGTGCTAAGAACTGACGTTGGGCAAATTTCTTAGTTTCTCTGTGCTTCAGATTCCTCATCTGTAAAGTGGAGGTGGTAATAATTATATTACAGAAGGGTGTGATGACAAGCAATTAATATTATTAAGTATTTGCACAAGATATAGTAAGCAGTGAATAAATGTTGGCTATCATTTGAATAGGAAGGGAGGCTCAGAGAGGCTTTGACACTTTCTGGAAGTTGCACAGCTACCGGTAGAACTAAGTGATGCATCCACTTGCCTCCAAAACCTGATGCGCTAGTGTTTCCCTAAGTGGGTTCCATGGGATGCTAGTCTGCAGGATGCTTAGTGAGAAGAGGGTTCCATGGTTAAATACGTTTGGGAAATGCTGTGTACTCTGCCCCTTTTGGAGAGCCATAAACCACGCCAGCGTTAGCACGTTGAACCAGACGAGTAGCACGGTAGCCAAGCAGCCTGTTTAACTTTGTTGAATCCGGCATTTCCCAAACTCATTTGACCACAAAACCTTTTTTTTTGTTTGTTTTTTGTTTCTTGTTTTTTTTTTCACCTAACACCTATTAGCACCCAGCGGAACACACTGTGGGAAATGCCACGCTAGGCCGTGCGGCGTCCCCCGGAATGGTAATGCTTTTGTTCTTTTAAGGGGAAACCGATGATCTCTTTTCCTCCTGCAGAGTGTGACTTAGCGTCAAATGTGGGGATGGCTGGTTGTAGCATCCGCACCCCCACCCTGGCAGAGAGCCAGCACCAAGTCTTCCCTTGGAGACCGAACCTTCCATCCTTTTCCCAATGAAGAGCCTTCCTCCTTCCGGCCCCCAAGGACCACCACTTAATAATGAGCCTCTCCCGAACACGTCCGCTTCCTACTCCCCACTGTTCCCACCTTTTACTCTCATCTCTGCCCAGCTGACACCACTCGGCTGCCCCAGCCTGACATCACAAAAAGTGCACTCAGCCTAAGGTAGAAAACTGGCCGCATGACCTTGGACGAGTCACCGACCTTCCAGACTTGAGTATTATTTTCACGCGTTGAATAGCGATAACAACACCTGCCTGTCTCACCTATGTCGATTCCATCACTTAGTGTGGCGCTGAGTTTGGAAGCCGCAAGAAGCTCAGCAAAAGAAGGCGCTTCCATTATTCCTAACGGCTCCAGCCCCTCTGGGAATGAGCTCGGCCCTGGGCGGTTGGCTGATCCCCGGTCAGCTGAGAACCCCTTGGACTGAAATTCCACCAAAGTGGCCCTTGGGTTTATCTGAACGGGACGAGGTGGCTGCTCACATGCCGCCACCTACTCATGCGTCCTCATCTCTGTCCTCCCTCGCAGGTGAAGTGTGTGCGGTACTGGCCGGATGACACAGAGGTCTATGGTGACATTAAAGTGTCCCTGATTGAAACAGAGCCCCTGGCAGAATACGTCATACGCACCTTCACTGTCCAGAAGGTAAGCTTCTTCCAGGCTGCGGGTGGCAGGTCCATCAGGGGAGTAGATTTGTTAATTTATCCAAGACGTGATAACCGAGGGTCCCCTTGTTGACCTGGTGTCACATTGGCACCCGGGGCCAATTAGCAATCAAATTAGACATGGATCCTGCTCCAGCAGGAGGGACAAACAGACTTCACTGGCTAATCAGAATAATGATTCGTGGTGATAAAAGCCACAAAGTCAGTGGCCCGACAGCTGGAGACAGAAATCCACAGGTGGATGGGGTGGTCAGGGAGGGCCTCCCAGAGGAGGAGGCACTGAAGCAGACAGTGAAGAGAAGGAGCCAGCCAAGGGAAGAGCAGGCAGAAGATGGCCCCAGGCAGAGGGGGACACCATGCAGAGTGGAGGGGATTTGGCAATGCCTGGAGACATTTTTGTTTGTCACGGCTGCAGGGAGGAGGTGCTACTGGCATCTAGTGGACGGAGCCAAGGATGCTGATAAACATCCTACAGTGCAGGGAACAGCCCCTCCACCCCCACCCCAGAGGCCCTCTAGCCCAAACAGTCATGTCAAGGTTGATAAACACTGGTCTAGGCACTGAAGGAGGGCAGGGTGGCAGGAACTTGATGCATAACAGTGAGATTGCAAAGACTCATCATCACTGTATTTATAATGCAATTACTATTTCCTCGTTGTCATTATAGCATTACTGGTGTAGTATAGTGATAGGTAACATTTACAGGGCATTTACTAAACCAGGTGTTTTTCTAAGTGCTTTGCACAAATTAGTTCATTTACTCCACCTACCAACCCCCTGAAGTGGATACTATTACTATGCCCATTCTTCAGATGAAATAACTGAGGCACAAGTTGTCCAGAGTCCCCAGAGGCAAGGGGGCGGAACCAGGATGGCCTTGACTCAGCTCATTTCCCCTCCACTACACTGCAGTAGCCATTTTCTAAAAAAACAGGCACATTAATGGGACAAGTGACCACAGCCTGAGCATGCGGAAGTGCTGGGACTTCAGTGCTCTGAGAGCTGCGCTGCTGGGGTTGGCAAGCCCTTGAGGTGGCCCAAGAAGAAACGTGCCCAGAACTGTCCCCACACGTGGCACAGGTGGCAAGACATACTGTTTGCTCCCAGCAGCCCCCTCCAGTCCTTGTGCTCTGCTCCTAAAGGCCTGCACCTGAAGACAGGTGAGGAGCCAGGAGGGAAGCTGACCTCCACTATGGGAGGGTAACAGCAGGTTCTCCGATGCAGCCATAAGTCAGGTTCCTTAGAAGCAGAGCCTGAGACGAGGATTCTGTGCACATGGAGTGTCAAGGAAGTGCTCTCAGGAGAGACTTGATGGGGTGTGGGGGTGGGGGATGGGACCAGGCAAGGACAGTGCCTTTGACAAAGTCTGGGCGAATTTTGAACCACAGGCCTCTGAAGCATAAACCACACCCCAGAGTTGGCCCCGTGGAGGCAAGGGAGCCACTTTTATGCCTCATGTCTATCGGTACACTGATCGTGGGCCAACTGCTGAGGGATCACCTCTAGGGTGAGCAGAATCCTGTCTCCTGAGGATACTTCTCCAGCAGAGGGGGCAACTCTGAGTCACCAGCAGTCAGCATCCCCACAGCAGAGTTAACAGCCCCAAAGAGGGGCCAGCTTGGCACCAGTCTCACCTACCGCACGTGAAGTCAGTGCTAGGAATGAGACCGGAAATGGGAACATGGGGCCACATCTTGGGGCCCTGACCCTGAGCAGGGAGTCCTCAAGAGTGGCTGTCAGGGAAGATGTCACCTATAGGGAGCCACCTTAAAATAGGGAGCCCTTGAGCCTCCCTGGTGGCGCAGGGGTTGAGCGCTGGGTTGCGGAGCTGCCCGCAGCCTCTTCAGCGCCGGTTCGATCCCCGGCTGCTCCCCGGCCACCAGAGGAGGGTCCCACATGGCGCGCAGACCTCTCCTGCCGCCCGCTGCTCCCCTCAGCAGTGTACTTCGGTCCTTCTGCCTGTTCTGCTCCCCGCTCTGGCTCTGGTGAATTCTCTCACCCTCCCGCGCTTCTGACTGTACCCAGTGCTTGTATAAATAAATAAATCTTTAAAAAAAAAAAAAATAGAGAGCCCAAGGACCTAGAGGATTAACTCAGCTCAGCTGGCCTCTGCATGGTGTACAAGCGGCCTGGGTTATCCAGCTCAATTTCGGTTGTGGGGACCGAGAAATGACAAACCAGTAATGTTGCCTGCCCTTGAAGACAGCACAGCCCTGTCAGGGAGAGAGGACTCTTGATAAACAGTCACGGCACAGGTAGTGAGACTTTGAACCAGGACTGAGTTCATTTGAAGGATGAAGTGAAAAAAAATCCAAGTATTAAAGTTGGTCTCTCCTCTAGCCCGCTGTCAGTTCCTGCATCACTGCTCTAACCCAGTGCTCGCTCTCCTGGGCTCCAGCGGCCACCTAGCAGGGCTCTCTGCCTCTGCTTTGCACCATCTGATTTTGGGTTCCCTACAGAGCCAGTTCAGGGATTTGGGTGCCTGGGCCGATGTGCTGAGGAGAAGGGAAATGAAGGAGGCAGGGCAGGGCTGGGGAAGGAGCTAAGTGTGGCTGTGGCCCAGCCCAAGGCCAGCTCTGGCCCAGCACTGAACCACGGAGCTCATAACCTCTTGAGGCAAAGGAGTCTTCTGTACCTCCATTAGGGTGGCCATCGTCCTGGTTTGCCCAAGACCATCCTGGCTAGCAAGTCCCAAGTCCTTGGAAATCCCACAATCCCAAGCAAGCTGCCAGAGTCGGCAGGTCACTGTAAGGCTCCTCTGAGTCTGAGGGTGCCAGCTGTCTACCCCACACCCAGGAGAGGCAGCCCCTGTTGCGCTGAGAGCAAGTCTCTGAAGGAGTGGTAACTGAAAACTGTCTGTAGCCTGCAGAGTGGCCAGGGGGTGGATGCAGCGACTGAGGAAAGGGCATCTGACTGAACACCGCCAGAACCCTCCACATAGCCCCCAGCACACCCACCCAAACCCCTCCTCCGCACAGCAGCCAGCGTGACCCTCCTAAAATGCAAATCTGGTGGTGATGTCTTCCCCTTCTGTGCAGCCATCTGCAACCTCCCTAGAGCACCCAAAGCTTTGGGAGTAAAGTCCAAAGGCCTAAAAGTGGGACTTGAGGCCCTCAAGGATCCAGCCTCCCACCCCCAGTCCCACGGCCCATCCTTGCCTGTCTTCCACTTTCTTCTGGAGCTACCCTGGGCTGTTTGTGAATCTGTCCACGCACTGTGCTAAGTCCTATCTCCATGCCTTTGCCGGGGTGCCCTCCCTGTCCAGGGATCCCTCCATTTTTCCAACTAGGTGATATTCAGGCATCAGTGAGTCATAATGATTAGGAGTTCAGACTGTGGAGCCAGCCGGCCTCAATTTGTAACTTTACAATTTACTAGTTTTGTGACCTTGAGCATGTTACCCAGCCTTGCTTAGGCCTCAATTTCTTCATCTACAAAAAGGAAATAAAATATGAGAATTGGTAGGGGTGTTAATGTTTTTCTACATCAAAGTGTTCAAAAGAGAAGAGTGATGGGCACATAGTCAATAATTAATGCATGTTAGCTGTTATTTTTCACTATTATCATGTTTCGAAATGCAGGCCAGGGTGCCACCTCCTCCAGGAAGCCCTCTCTGATTTCTTCCCTGTCTAGGGTTACCTGGCACTTCTTGATGTACTTTAATAGGAGTATTCACTTAGAAGTCTGCCTCTCATACTAGACCAACTCACACCGGAGCTGTTTCAGAGACAAGGACTGTGGCTTTGATTTCTGGCTTCCTAGGACCTAACACAAAACTGGGCACAGATTACCCTGGTTATATTATTTTAATGAAAGAATGAATAATCACTCTTCCTATATAATCTCCCTAAATATCTATAGGAGATGGCTAAGGAAAAGGAAGCTCAGGAAGGGGGCATGCCCTAAGTAAAGGTTCAAAGGTGTCGCCTGGCCACAGAATAGTCAGGAAACTTCCCTTTGGCCTGGAGCTTGTCTGTGTGAAGGATGGGAGGGGGCAAGGGGCCTGCTTGAGCTCTAAGCCTCACCATTCCCCAGTCAGAGAAGCTTGGTTTTTATGTTTCATATCTGATAATTATAAGTAAGAATCTAATTAATAAAAAGTTTGCTCCTTTATTTTTAATTTTAAAATCACAGACATGATCATAGAAAAAGCTTAAAACTGAGTACCCCAGAGATCAATCTTTAAAAAAAAAAAAAAGCCTTGCATTCCACTGGAAATAACTTTAACTTGGTGTTTAGGACATTTCTCTGAATTCCTTCCATTAGATACAAGTTCCATGAGACACTTGTCAAAAGAGGGTCCTCTGGCAAAAGTGTGGGTGTAATCACAGCCCCTGGGGAAGATTCAGATCATGTATTAGTATTAAAGGCTCTGAGAAATCCTGCAGTGAAGCAGTCACTTTTTCTCGCCTTCCTGAGTTCCTAACTATAAAAGATCACAGAATCACCCCCCATAATGACACCTGTTAACCCTTTGAGGGCTGTGTCTTCCCTGACAGCAGGGTGGCTGGCTCCCCATGGGTGCTGGATGGGCATGTAGGGGCAGCAGCTGAAGGAACAGAGGCCCGTTCTCTCCTCAGAAAGGCTACCACGAGATCCGGGAGCTCCGCCTCTTCCACTTCACCAGCTGGCCCGACCATGGCGTCCCCTGCTATGCCACTGGCCTCCTGGGCTTCGTCCGCCAGGTCAAGTTCCTCAACCCCCCTGAAGCTGGGCCCATAGTGGTCCACTGCAGGTAAGTGAGGGGGCCCCCACTCTAAATAATAAGAAAAATAAGCCAGTCCCCAAAGGCAGGCATTCCTCTCCCATTTTACAAGAGGAGGCTGAGATTCTGATTTAGTCGCTGGGGATCTCCTGGCAGCACTGAGATCCAGACTCTTCTGTCTGACCTCTGCAGGGTCTGTGGGGACAAGGCTGAATGGGTGGGGCCTCCGCAGGGCTGGTCCTGCCCCAAGGTCCCTAACATGGTCCACTGTCCCCCTCTTCCAGTGCTGGAGCCGGGAGAACAGGCTGCTTCATTGCCATCGACACCATGCTTGACATGGCTGAGAACGAAGGGGTGGTGGACATTTTCAACTGCGTTCGAGAACTTCGGGCCCAAAGGGTCAACCTGGTGCAGACAGAGGTGAGTCCCAGCAGCCCGAGCCCACTGGCCACCTGCAGCCCGAGTCAAGGAAAAGCATGCTAGAACAGAGGCCCGTTGGGAAGACAGCCTTTAGGAAGGGACTGTGGGAGAAGTGGGAGCAAAGGGCCAAGAGCTGAGGGGGTGACGTGTTTTAGGAGCAGACCCTGAGACAAAGATTTGAGTGCAAGTAGTTCATTGGGGAGGTGATCCCCAAATTCTCTGGTAGGTGAATGGGGACATGGGATGGACAGAGGAAGAAAAGCTTCTGACACTGAGTGTTTGACAAACTTCAGCGCCGTGGACACTGGAGTCCCATCCTGCTGCACAGCTCCGGGACAGTCTAGAGCACGTTTTCCAAGTTTCCCACCTAAGAGAGAGGCAGTGTAGGTTCTTATCCCCCGACTCTCCATCTGGTATTGTTGAAGGCTCCTACCTGGGCCCTTAGCGTTCCCCTGTTGGCTGGCCCTGCACACAGCCCGAGCGCAGATGTGGGATGAGGGGAGAAGCCCTCAGCACAAATCTCAGATTTTTCAGAAAGCAGCCTTCAGCAGGTCAAGGGAAAGGGGCTTGGGGTGGGTGAAACAGGTAAAGGGGAGTCAATTGTGTGGAGGTGGATGGAAAGTAGACTCTTGAGGATCACAAGGCGATGTACAGATGTGGGATCCTATGCTATGTAGCTGAAATTCACATGCTGTTATAGACTGATGTTACATAAGTCAAAATGCATTTAATAATAATTCATATAAAATGTTGAAAATAAACCATGGGATATAAATTTCTCTAAGCATAGCCATGTTTACTGCAAAACAACAACAACGACAATAGGACATTAAAAAGAACTTTCAGGGCCTCCCCGGTGGCGCAGCAGTTGAGCGCTGGGCTGCGAAGCTGCCTGTGGCCTCTGCAGTGCCAGTTCGATCCCCGGCCACTAGCTAGGGTCCCACATGGCGCGCAGGCCTCTCCTGCCGCCCGCTGCTCCCCTCAGCAGTGTCCTCCGTCAGTCTGTCTGTTCTGCTCCCTGCTCTGGCTCTGGTGAATTCTCTCACCCTCCCAAGTTTCTGACTGTACCCAGTGCTTGTATAAATAAATAAATAAATCTTAAAAAAAAATTAAAATAAAATAAAAAGGAACTTTTCAGTTATCCAGGACTCCATATACAAGCGCCAAAAACTCAAGAGAAACACTAAATTGCAGTAAATGTCAGTACAATGTAAGGATTACAGCATTTGAAGAGACTGCATGATTTTTTTTTTCCATTTTATCATTTTAAGTTTATTTTTTTTTAAATAATAAATTTTATTTTTATATTCCCCCATACAACTGCACATGCCCCATTCTGACCCCAATCCCTCCCCTCCCGGCCCCCACCCCCCAAAAAGTGTCTCTGGTTCATAGATTTTTGTTGATTTTGATTTTCACTTTCTTATAGTTATTCATTTTCCTGATCCCTTATTTAAGTTTTCTAGATTCCTGCTATGAGTGAGACCATCCGGTATTTTTCTTTTTCTTTTTGGCTTATTTCGCTGAGCATGATCCCTTCCAGCGCCATCCATGTTGCTGCAAATTGCATGTGTTTATCTTTTTTGAATGCTGAGTAATATTCCATGGTGTATATGGACCACATCTTCTTGATCCAGTCATCTATTTTTGGGCATTTGGGCTGTTTCCAAAGCTTAGCTATTGTAAACAGTGCTGCTATAAACATAGGGGTGCAGGTGTTCTTTGGAATGGATGTTTCTGTGTCCTTTGGGTAAATACCTAGGAGTGGAATTGCTGGATCATATGGAAGCTCTATGTTTAGTAGGTCCAGAAATCTCCACACAGCTCTCCACAGTGGTTGGACCAGTTTGCACTCCCACCAACAGTGCAGAAGAGTTCCTTTTTCTCCACACCCTCGCCAACATTTGTTGTTGCTAGTTTTTTTAATATGTGCCATTCTCACTGGTGTAAGATGGTATCTCATGGTAGTTTTGATTTGCATTTCCCTGATTACAAGTGATGTTGAACATTTTTTCATATACCTGTTGGCCATTCGCATTTCGTCTTCAGAGAAGTTTCTTTTTAGCTCCTCTGTCCATTTTTTGACTGGATTATTTTCTTTGTTGTTGTTGAGTCTCATCAGCTCTTTGCAGATTTTTGTGATCAGTCCTTTATCATTAGTGTTGGGTGCAAAAATGTTCTCCCAGTTGGTGGGGTTTCTCTTTGTTTTTGTTATTGTCTCTTTTGCTGTGCAGAAGCTCTTTAATTTGATGTAGTCACAGCTGTTTATCTTTGCCTTCACTATCACTGCTTTGGGTGATGTGTCTGTAAAGATGTCTTTGATGTGCAAATCACGTAGTGTTTCGCCTATATTTCCTTCTATATATTTTATGGTTTCAGGTCTTATGTCTAGTTCTTTAATCCATTTTGAGTTGGTTTTTGTGTATGGTGTGAGGTAGTGGTCAAGCTTCATTCATTTGCATGTAGCGACCCAGTTTTCCCAGCACCATTTATTGAACAAACTCTCTTTGCTCCAATGCATAGTCTTTGCTCCTTTGTCAAAGATTAGTTGACCATAAATCTGTGGGTTTATTTCTGGATTTTCTATTCGATTCCATTGGTCTGTATGTCTGTTCTTGTTCCAATACCAGACTGCATGATTTTTTTAAAAAGTAAAATCGTGCGTTACACATATTTTCTTCAAGTCGAAGTATAAATTCATGTACTAATCTTATATTAAATTTATTTTAAGTACAAAAAAAAAAAATGAAGAGACCAGGGGAAAGGAAAAGAGAAAAGTGAAAGCTGAGAGCGCCAGGGCAGGACACGAGAGCCCCAGTGCTGCATGTCCCGGAGTTTTTCATTTTTTTCACAGACTGTGCCGTTCAGTCAGCCACACGGGGCGGACTCAGCAGGGCCCGGCATCACTGGGGAACACGGCAACTGGGCCCTTCGGGCTGTAGGCCAGAGAGCAGTGATTCTGCGGATACACCGCACGCAGCCTGCACAGCCGGGGGCGCGGGTGGCTAAGGCCCCCCAGCCCTGCCCTCACCCGCCCCCTCGCCCGCAGGAGCAGTACGTGTTCGTGCACGACGCCATCCTGGAGGCCTGCCTCTGCGGCAACACCGCCATCCCCGTGTGCGAGTTCCGCTCCCTGTACTACAACATCAGCAGGCTGGACCCCCAGACCAACTCCAGCCAAATCAAAGATGAATTTCAGGTATGTGCAGACCCCAGGGGCCCAGCCCGCGCTTTCGGGTGCTGGGCATACAGTGGGGGTTTCCTGGTGGGAGCCGATGGGTCTGTGTGCTCCGGCGGGTGCAGCTCGGCAGCTGCGGGTGAGTCACAGAGGGAGGCCCACGCCCCTCCTCAATCACACCGTGACGGCTGACACTGTTCTTAATGATGATTATGTTTGTGAACTGAAGTCTTGTTTAATTCTAGACCAGGTTGTGCGTGGAGACACGTCGAGACACACAGGTGTGAATTTCGTGCTCCTGTGTCCCCAGAGGGACTTGGGTTTTCGCCACCTTTCTGTACACTTGGATCCTCACTGCTCAAAATGGGGTCCAGACACAGGCAGCTTCAGTTTCACCTGGGAGCTTGTTAGAAATGCAGAATCTTAGGCCTCACCCGCACCTACTGAGTGAGGACCTGCGCTTCAGAGCTCTCTGGGGGGTGGTGTGCACGTGACACTTTGGGGGGCATCTCCCTGGAGCGCTGCTCGGCAGGGCAGGTCCAGGCCATGGAGCCCTGTGGTCAGAATGTAGGAGACTTCGGTCTGGAAATCCAGACATCAGTCCGGAGTCCAGCCCATTGTCCCCAGGTCAGTGTCAGGGTCCTACCCGGGCATCAGGAATGAGAACCAGGCAGGAGGACGCAAGGGAGCGTCAGGACTTGAGGGCCAAATGCTGGGCCCATCATTCCCCGCGCAGGTACCCGCCAGCCAGTACCACGGCGCGCCTTCTAACGAAGTCCACTGATTCGGGGGAGGGCGGGGACTCGGACCCCGGGGGGTTGTTCGGGGCACCAGGTACATCAGCGCTGGCCCTGCCCTTGTAAGACATTGGCCACAGAACGCGAGCCCTGAGCCTTCCCTGCCCTACGGAGCTTGCCCGCGGGGTCTCCAGTCTCAAGTCCGTCCTGAGCAACTTATCTCCCCATCCCTCCACCCTCCAACAGCTTCCTCTCTGCAGGGGCGATAGGAAAGTCACTTCCCGCTTCCGGGACACGGCCTGGGATGTCTGCCACCCCCGGTGGCCTCCCCAGCCCCCTCCCGCCGTGCGACTCCTGGCCGGCCCAGCCTTGGCTGCGGCACTTCCAAGAGGAGCCACTTAGCTCAAGCGGCGGGCAGGTGCTGGTCCGTACCTGAGTGTGGTGGGCGCCCCTCCTGCCTTCAGCTTTTGGGGGTCACACAGCTCCGCCCACAGGACCCCTGGAGCGGCCACGGGAGATGAGGGAAGAAGAGCCAGTCCTGGGGATGGACCAGCGGGCTCGCTTGCAGGTGGAGCAGGCGGGGCTGGTGTGAGTTCAGACATCACTGTCTTGTCGTTTCTGGGCAGCCAGCTGAGCAGTACCTATCAGTCCCCTGTGTACCCCACAGACCCTCAACATCGTGACGCCCCGTGTCCGGCCCGAGGACTGCAGCATCGGGCTCCTGCCCCGGAACCACGATAAGAACCGGAGCATGGATGTCCTGCCCCTGGACCGCTGCCTGCCCTTCCTCATCTCCGTGGACGGGGAGTCCAGCAACTACATCAATGCGGCGCTGATGGACGTAAGCTGAGCATGGCCGGGGGTGGGGGGTGCTCCTGGCTCATGTTATGGGGACTGAGAAGCTTGTTCCAGGGTAGAGATAGAGGGGCCCCAGGGCTCTGACCCCAGCCTGGGAAGCCTCTCTTTGTGTCCTATCTTACTGGCCCCAAGACCAAACCTATTCACAACCTGTGCTCTGGCTCTTTTTTTCCCATAAAGCCTAGAAAGAATAGACCAGAAGCTTAAAATGCCCCCCCACACACACACACACCCCACAACGAGACTGCAGGGCTGATGGCCCCTCCCCCTGCTGCTAGAGAACTGACTCAGCCTTTGTGCAGTTGAGAGCATCCTGCAGTCCAGGCGGACCTGAGCCCTGGGAACACAGGTGGTGCAGCAAAGGTTTTGTCCTCCAGGAGCTCTCATGCAGGCTCAGAGACAGCAGTGAGGATGACACATAGTGCTCAGTAAATGACGACACATAGTAGGTGCTCAGTAAATGAGTGGTGGGAGGCAGCAGAGAGCACGGAGCGGGAGCAGGCATGTTCCCGACTACTCTGCAGGGGCACTGCCTCCGGCTTTGTCAGCACCAGGCCCTGAAGGGCACCCCTACCCCGTTCCTGGTGTGGGATTCAGAGGTCCCAGGGTCATGTGACTTGCATGCATCTCCCTGGATCCTCCTACTTCTGGTCATCACCCTCCAGTTCTGCAATGTAGAGATGTTTGCACAGGAAGGAGCCCTGAATCACCCAGTCTCATCCATGCGCTTTCTAGCAGAGGAAACTGAGGCCAGAGAGGGAAGGAGACTTGCTCACTACCAAGTGAGAGCTTGTAGCAAAGCCAGAGTCCAGGACTCCTAACTCATACCCTAAAATTCCTTCTTTGGGCCTCCCACAGCTGCCTCTACCCAGTAAAATGCAGACATCCTGCCCCTGAGGCTTTGGGCCTGATTTGGAATGAGCCCTACCAGCCCCCCTCCCCAACATGTCAGAGGTCACATCCATCCAGCCCACATGGACTTCCCACCTCACCCAGAACAGGCAGGAACTTGGGGTGCTCTCATCTGCGTCAGGGCAACTACTTTTCTGACCTCCAATCCTTCCGAGATTTCCCCCCCAGTCCTCAGTGTTGGAGGCAGACAGGTGATGAGAGGTCAGTGCCTGTCTCAGCTCAGTGGGGCCCCGCCCTGACCTCTGCCCGCGGGTACCAAGTCATCCTTGGGAATCTTGGCTCTGGAAGCGGAGCTTCTTGTCTGGATCAAATCAAATTGCTAGAGGTGGAGAGAAGCTCCGGCTTTCGTGCAGGGCCTTCCAAGGTCAATGGGTGTGTGTGTGGGTGCAGGAGGTGACTGATGGGGTTTGGGGTACACTCATTCTTCCAAGCCCCTCCTAGCTGTGATTCCTGCTTGTCCCAGCTCCCCACCCCACCTTCCTCTTCCACACAAGGATCAAACCCGCTCCTGGCCTCTACTTAGTAGGTTAGATGCCGCCTGCAGTCAAATGCCTTCTGCCGAGTGCTGCTGCTGATTGTGTTCTCTGTCCACAGGGCATTTCTCCTGTGAGCCATCACTGGAGCCTTTGCCTTTCTCACACACAAAAAAAAGTCCTTATCTGTATTCCAACTCAGTCTGTGCATTATCTGGTAACCATAGCAGCTTTGCTCCTAGCAGAAAAATATGAAGTCCTCTGGGTTAATTTTTAATGTTTCCCCTGGTAAAGGATGATGTTATCCATGAAATGGATTGCCGGCTGATCCCTGAAACCCGGCAGGAGCACGGATCTCGAACATATTTTCAGATAAGGCTTTGTCAGGCGTGCTGGCCTAATAGAGCATTTATCACAGAGACAGGGAAGAGGGAAAGAAAACTAACATTCACAGAGCGGTGGGCGCCATGTCAGGCCCTGACTTACACTGCATTGTTCTGCATTTGAACGTATCATCCCCATTTTCTAGGTGAGGCACAGAGGGGCCGAGTATCTCCGTGATTATCTCCAGGTCAGCCAGCTCAGGAACGGGAGTGCAGGGTCTGGGCACCGGGGGTTGTGACGCTTAGAACCTAGACTCTTTTCCTCACCTGCAAGGGACTCGAAGATCTGCTTTTGCAGCTGGAGTGTGGCTTTTGGGGAAACGAGACATTCTGGCCTCCCTCTCCCCCTCTGACCATCACATGGCCTGGGAAGACCTTGAAGACAGAGCCCCCAACCACATGCAGCCTCCACAGCCGCAGGGGTTTGAATGGTTGGTTTGCAGCTGGGCACTGGGAGAACAGATGGGTGCTTGATGTAGCTTCTTGGCAGGCTTGTGTGCAAGGCCTTCACCCAAATTGAAAGGGTTCACCCCCGTCCCTTCCCACCTTTGTGCTGACTTGCGTCTCCACTGACAAAGCTGTGGCTCCCACAGGAACCATCTTCCAAGGAAGCCTTTTTAGAATATGGGCTATTTCTCAGGCTTCCCAAACCACTAATGGCGAGAAGAGGCTCCCTGAGCTTTCCAGACCCTCTCACAGCACACGGCAACAAACATGGTTCCTTCAAGGCCTCTGACGTAGTCCAGACCCGCACAGGCCACTTTCTCTGGCCCTCGAGTCCACCAGTGACTCGGCCTCAGTATAGTCATTTGTCTCCTGGAGGTCCTGGGCGCCCCCATGTGCCAGCCACATGCTGGTGCTGAGGATGAAGGACCAAGTTGGGGATGTTTCCACTGGCCGGTGGGCTCACTGTTTGGGTGCTGGTCTTTTCACCAAATCTCATTCAATCCTTTGAAGTTACGATTCCCATTTTCAGATGAAGAATCTGGAGAGATCTTATAACTTGTCAGTGCCTCGCCCAGGGAGGGAGAGGGCAGGACAGTCGCTACTGACGATGTTTGAAAGAATGAATATTTGAATAAATGGATGGATGAGTGGGTGGGTGGATGGATGCATGGATGGATGGATGGATGGATGGATGGATGGTTGGATGTGTGTGTGGATGGTGGAGGGGTAGGTAGATGGGTAGGTGCGAATGTGTGGCGAGCTGCCTGGCTTATAGCCTACCAGTGGCAAAATGAATTTAAGTCCCAGGGCTGTCTGACTCCAAAGTTTGGCACCTTCCACGGTCCCAGCTTATGGTTCAGAGTCCACCTCCTATAACATCCATCCCTTCCAGAGGATCTCTGCTCGTCTGCGCAGACCCCTCCTGTGGCATTGAGGGCACAGGGACACAAAGCATCCCTTCTATCCCAAGAGGTGCCTTGGCCAGCCGAGCAGCAAATCTGCATCCCAAATCTTTCATTTTGTATTGTAATGATAACTATTTGCCGAGCTCCCAGACATAAATAATTTATTTGAATAATCCCCATCTGAGTGACACTTTCCTAATGAAATGTCTTATTTTGGAGGAGAATGAGTTCATTATGAGAAGGTCCCCTTTGTCGCCAGGGCACCCAGAGATAACAGGACAGGCAGGTGCTTTGTGTAATCTATTTGGCAGACTCAGGGGCCTCTGGCAGTCATCCAGGCCTCATCTCTTCAGGACCTCGCTGATGGATGTGCATTTGATGAAGCCCGTGTTGTTCCTTTGTCAGAGCCACAAGCAGCCTGCCGCCTTCGTGGTCACCCAGCACCCTCTACCCAACACCGTGGCAGACTTCTGGAGGCTGGTGTTCGATTATAACTGCTCCTCTGTGGTGATGCTGAACGAGATGGATACTGCCCAGGTAGGAGGAGGCCTGGCGCGGCCCTGGGTGCGGGTGCTCAGGTGCGTTAGCGTAACAGGGTCCAGTTGCTGGAGAAGGAGCCCTGAGGACGCGTGTTGCCTCTGCCTGGTGTCGGTGCCCTCTGCAGGGCGGGCGCTGTCTGTCTGTGAGCCCCAAGCAAATCCACTCTGCTGCTGGCCGCGTCTCCCAGCTCTGAGCTCTCCAGCCCTGCAGGCTGTCCTGATGCCTGGCCACAGAGAGCTGGCCTGCCCCCTCTGTGTGCACCTGCGTTCATAGAGCCGGGGCTTGACCCGGGACCCTCTGCCCAGCAGCCACACACCGAGCCTTGACTGCACAGGTGACCCTGTGACCCGCCCAGCAGGCTTCATTCCGTAGCCCCCGAGGTGTGCAGCCACGAGCATCCTGCACCCACAGCACACCCATGCCCATACGCAGGACACGGGACCCGTGTCGCGGGGCAGTTCCTGGGGTGCACGTCCCCTTGACAGGGCAGCCATTCTGGGGTGGAAGTAAGAAGGGCCTTTTGGGTTTTTGCAAAGCGAGCCCGTCATTGTCTTGAAGAAAACTCAAAGGAGCACGTCCCTGAGTGAGTGCGGCCTTGTGTGGGAATTAGGAAGACAGATCTGAGCTGTGGTCTCAGCCCCCCAGGAGCTCGTAGTCCTGCTGCAGAGACAGATGAGCGAATCGTCCCAACCCCACGCAGCACTGTAATAGAGGTCGGCAGCAAAGTGCTGTGCTGGCCGGGAACAGGGAGCAATGAATTCAGCCCAGAGGGTGAGGGAAGACTTCAAAAAGGTGACCTTGGCCTTGAAGAAGACAGCAGAGATTTGGGCGTGTGGAGAATGAAGGAGCTGAGAAAAGGCAACCCCAGCAGAGGGAACAGCAGGGCAAAGGCCGGCGGCCTGGCTGTGGAGCTTGTCTGCAGAATCAGCCGTGCTGCACCTGCCTGGGTGTGGGGTGTGCCAGCGGAAGAGGTGGTGACTCTGGAAATGCACAGGACTCTTTAAAGGGGCTGTCCACGCTGGGCTGAGGGCTTAGGCCCGGCCTGCTGCACGATACCTGTCAGACTTTTGCTTTGTGAGCAACAGAATCCTTTGACCCAAAGCTTTCAACAAGCCCAATGTGTGAAACCAGCATGATCAGGAGCGGTGCTGCACGCAGCTGGGGGCGGGGCCTGGGCTCTCCGTAGCACTGGGCATTTAGCACCTCCTGGTGCCCCGTGGAGAGTCAGCCACTCTGGACACCTTGTGGAACCTGTGGGGTTCCTCGGAGCACAATTAGGGAATACTTGCCATGCAGGGAGCGGAGACACTAGAGCGTCTCAGCAGTGGGGCGGCGGAGCCAGGGTTCCTGTTAGAAAGCTGCGCGTGGGACAGTGAGCAGGAAAAGCTTGAGGGAAAACCTGGAAGCCCAGAGACTGAGGAGGAGAATAGTGCAAATGTGCAGAAAATAAAGGTGCTCATCTGATGGAGGAGGTGACCGGGAGGCAGGAGAGTTGAGGTCAGATGCAAAAAACCATTCCGGAGTTGAAGTCCACAGGTCGCGGCAGCGAGATGAGGAGGTGAGTGAGAAGTCGTGGCTGATGGCTGGGAGCCCCCCGGCCGTCAGGCTTCTGGGGTGCGACTGATGGTGGGGAGCAGGAGAGAAAGCAGGAAGGCTGGGAAGGCAGAAAAAAGCAGGTTACAGGGGGTGAAGTTGAGGCAAGCTGGTGTGTGCAGTGAGAGACCATCAGGGAGATGCCGTGCTTCCCTTCAGCCCTTGTTTGTTGAGCGTCTGCTTTTGGCCAGAAGCTACTCGAGGTGCTTGGGCGCACCCGTGAGCAGGACACAGTCAGCAAAACACAAGATGCTCATCTCTCGCGCAACTTCCGCTGTGCAATGGGGAGACAAACCGCACACGCCCTGCGATGTGCCTGCTCGCGCGTAAAGGGGCAAGTGTATGGAAAGAGGAAAACGGAGGGTGAAGACTGGTGTGGGCCTGGGATGCCCTGTCAGAGGGTTTCAGGCGGGCCCTATTGGGACGGTCATGGCCGAGGCAGACTTGGAGTTGCTGGGAGACTGGGGCTGGGGCCGTCCCAGCGTCCCAGCAGGGGGCACAGCAGCACCAAGGCCTTAGGCTGGGCATGTGTCTGGCACACTTGAGGCCATTGTGGCCAGCGCAGAGAGAGTGTGGGGCCAGCAGCAGGAGGGACAGAAACACAGCAGGGCCCGGTCATGGGGGGCCTTGAGTCTTAGTGAAAAAAATGAGGTTTTATTCTGAGAGAAAAGGGGAGCCATTGACAGGTTTTGAGTCAGGAAAGGGCCTGGAAAATGTCATTTGAGATTTTTAAAAAGCACTGTAGGTGCTGGAAGCGGGAGGGTTGTTGTTGCTAGGAGTAGAAGCACAGAGAACAGGGAAGAAGCTCCCAATGTGATGCAGGTGACGGGGGTGGTGGCTTGAACCTCGGTGGGAGCGATGCAATTGATCGGGCTGTACCCTGCGGGTAGACCCAACGGAGAACATGACAGATTGAATATGGAATGTGAGGGAAAGGAAGCATCAAGGATGATCCAAGGCCCAGGGCCTGGACAATGGAATCTGAGATAACCATGAAATTGAACAGATTCCCATTAAACAAAGGCCCCCCAAGGGCTTCTAAAGTCCAAAGGCATCACCGCCCTGTTCCTTGGCCTGAAAAAGTAAAACAGTCGGCTCTGCCCGTGAGTGACATAGAGCCTGGGGAAGCCCGTATGGTTCTCCCTTTTTGCAAAACCAGAGCTCAGACACAAAGAAGGAGTTTCAAAGAAAGTCCCTTTGGGACAGACACAGAAGCAAGGATCAGGGTCCCCGGCTAGAGCTCCCCCTACAGTGTGGGCTGGGGTGAAGGAAGATCTTTCAGCCCCAGATGTTGGTACAACTTTTGAGAATCGATGTTCTAAATGCAAAAACATCAGGCTCAGAAGTGCCCTGAGGTTGGCTGCCATATGCAGCTGGCAAGCCTCCCCTGAAATCTGCAGATGAATAGAGCACTTATTGATATAAATATCATCACCGCAACAGCTGGGCGCCTTGTGAAAATAAACAGTGACACTGTGTGAGCATCAGAAGAGCCGCCCTCGGCACCTGGAGAGGCGGTTCTTTGAAGTGGCATCAGCATTTGTCTGCCAGTGTGCCCGTGCCAGGCAGTCATGGCTGCAGCCAGCCCAGCAACATGGACAGTCTAAGTCCTGCACAGCCCTAGATCGCTCCCAAGAGCTCTGGTGCACTTCCTGCACTGTGCGCACTTCGGTCTGTGTTTCAGGTCATGGCAGGACCACGTAGTTTGTAGCAAAGTGTGGTTGAGCAGAGAGTGAGAGATTGCCAAGTGCTTTATTTTCTTGCCCAGCTAGTCCAATCTATCTGCCTCTGCTCAGAATCCTGTACTTCTTCATTCAGTCAGCCCTCTCCAGCCAAAGCTAGTCTTCCAATCTCGGCAGTGACTACTGTTCAGGGGTAGCTAGGTGCAGTGGGGGGCTCCAGATAAAGACCCTCAAAGCAACTTCATTGGAACTTAGAGATTTTTCTAGCTCTTTGGGATTCCAAAGCCCTGTGGTCAGATTAGTGGGGCAAAATCCTTGCTCTTCAACAGTCAGCAAATGATACTGGTTTCAACAATACCCAATAGCATTGACAAGATCTCAGCCAGCTTTGTGGACTCTGTGTGTGGTTAGACCAGAGCCCACGGGGAGCAGACACCAGAAAGCCCTTTCTGTGGTCAGCTCAGGAGATCCTCGAGGTCAGCCATGGTGCAGTTTCTCCGGCAAATGGAATCATAGTCCCCAAAAATGTCTACATCGTGACTCCAAAGCCTGTAAATTGTCCTTTCACATAGCACCTCGGAAACCACTGATCTGACGAGGGTGACGTCCCCAGTTGCAGGTCAGGACACAGAGGCCGAGGCAAGGGGCAGGATCTGCCCGAACGCTCTCAGCCCATCACTGACTCAGACCCAGGGCCTCCCGCCAGGGATGGAGACGCTTTTCTGCCACCATTTAAAAAGCAAGATTCCCACAGCCCCGGTGCCTGGTAAGCCCCACCCTCGGGGGGCCTATGGAGCAGGAAGGATCGTGCTTTCCTCTAAAACAATTCTTTTGTGTAAAAGCTGAGTCGCCCTGTTCTGAAAGTGAGCGAGCCAAGCTCTTCATCCTCCCAGGAGAAAAGTGGGGGTGATGTTTCAGAAATGTCTTTTCCTGTCATTGTGCCTGCAGGGCAAATAGCAAGTATTGATATCCCATTTTTATCTCGGCTTGTGAAAACACAACATAACGTGCTGGTAAATAAAGACACAGACCACCCAGGTCGTGTCTTGGCGAGCCTCAGCTCTGAAATGCAAGGCCTGGATTCCTGCCTGACCTTCCTGAAGAGTGGGGTCACGGTGGAACCAAAAGTCTGGGGTCAGGAGACCTGAGCTCACCTTCAGCCCCACGCTTACTTGGTGTGTTGCCTGGAGCCAGTTTCTTGTCTGAGTCTCAGTGTTAGATTTTTTTTGTTTTTAAGATTTATTTATTTATTTATTTACACAAGCACTGGGTACAGTCAGATGTGCGGGAGGGTGAGAGAATTCACCAGAGCCAGAGCGGGGAGCAGAACAGGCAGAAGGACCGAAGTACACTGCTGAGGGGAGCAGCGGGCGGCAGGAGAGGTCTGCGCGCCACGTGGGACCCTTACCTGGTGGCCGGGGATCGAACTGGCGCTGCAGAGGCTGCGGGCAGCTTCCCAGCCCAGTGTTCAACTGCTGCGCCACCGGGGAGACCCTCAGTGTTAGATTTGTGTAGCCAGCTGTCAGCCAAATTCATACTGTCTTTGAAATTTTAAATAACAACGGCTCTATTTCCTCTCCCCCCTCCTGTGGGAAAGCCCGCTGTCCACTCCCCAGGTTTCTGGGCATTCTAAGGGAGCCCTATTTTCACTTCCAAGTTCCAGCTCAAGCTTTACCGGATCCCCAAGGGGTCCTGCCCCAGCAAGGGCCACACTGAAGGTGGAAAGTCCCCTCCTCCTCCTCACGCCTGGGGTGGAGCACAGCTGCCCCGCCTGTCCCCCCAACCACTTTCCTCCTCTCTCTGCCTTTCCTCCTGCGCCCTCTTTTTAGCTGTGCCGGTGGGGCCCCAAAGAGCCTGCCTTTCTTAAGCTGCACCATTCAAGTTTCTCCACCCCAAAGCCTGTCTCCCACGCCCCTCCTCCTTCTGCACCCGATTCCCTAAACTTCCCACCCTTCCTAGCAGCAACAAACTCTGTCGAGCTGTCCTCAGAGGAAGTTCCCACCACGACTTGGAGATTGCGTTGTTCACCTCGTGGGCCCTCGAGAGGGTAAACTGAGGCTCGGTGTGGGGGTGCCCCGGCTCCAGCCCACACGCCTTCCCCGCTGTGTCACCCCAGCCTGTCTTCCTGAGCCGGCCACAGTGGTAAGGTCACTGTTAAGGTCTTGTCTTTGCCTCTTTACAAAGTCCTTTTAAACAGATTCTGTAATCAGTGATTGGAATTTTTAAAACTAATTCAGGTGACACATTTTTCTCAAAAAACACTAATTTCTTTCACCTTCAGGGAACCCGGGATGGAGTTCCCTCCCGCCCCCGCCACCCCCCAACCGTGGATCACAGGGACCTTGACCAAGTCAGGCCCTGAGTTTCTCAGCCATGCTATGCCTCAGCCGTACTGTTTTATCAACATATTTTTAATTAACAAAAGCTATAACTAAGGTGCACTGAAATGCATTTTTAAATTGTTTCTTCCAAAAATGAGCCCATATGGCAGTTTCCACTCAGCTCATCAGAGTGTGTTTATTCCAGTGACTAACAAGCTTTCTGGTTCCATGAGCCAGGAAACGGTGGGCAGCGGTGCAGCTCCCTCCGCATTTGTTCTGTAGCCAGCGAGAACGTGTGGCCCCAGGGACATCTTTTCACGGCCCCAGCAGCCGCGGGGATCACTGGGTGGAGAACACGGGGCAGCTGTTCCAGGCCGTCCGCGCAGGCTTCTCGGCTCCCGCTTGGTTTCACTTGTTCTGACAATAAATAGCAAAAGGGCTTCTGCTCTTCCAGAACAGCCGGGCCATTGTAAGTCCTCGGCAACACCCAGACCCAGACCGGCTTCCCCTCCGGGCATGGCCCTCAGTGCTGCCCTGCGTGTCAGCAGGGCTAAGCCCCCTCCCCAGGCTGCTGGGCAGGCTCAGAGGAGGGGGCTAGTGGGCTGTGAAGTGAGGAAAGGCCTGGATCTGGGTTTTGAAGGGCTTTGGATTGGCTCTTTCTCGGAGACGCCGCTGCAAGTTTTTATCTGAGAAAGAAACGCCAAAGTAGCACCAGGGCAGCTGAGCCCCCGGTCAGAAGGGTGCTTGTGGTTTTAAAGAGCCGGTGGGCTTCCTTCAACCCTTGTCCCCTTGTCCGCGGGCTTCCGAGACCATCAGGCCCTGCCCCAAGGTTTCCAGGAACTGCTGGCGGTTGGTGGGTTGGTGCACCGGGCAACTCTCACTCAGGCCTGTGGTCTCTGCTCCAGGCCTGCGTCAGCCCCTGCGCAAAGCTCAGTTCCTGGCACTCCCCTCCTGGTTCCGCTCAGCTCTGGACTTTCCTCTGGCTTCCCCTCTGCTCTCCTGCCTTCCCAGCTAGATCGTGTGCGGCCTCCGGGGCGTGGGGCACCTGCAAGTGTGGGGCAGCTCTGACAGCACCGGCTGAATGTCACCCCCTGTCACCCCCGCGCGGGCTGATGTGGTCTCCCGACCTGAGGGGGCTCCAGTGCAGGGATGACGCTGACTTAGGTGAGAAGGCCCCTGCAACCTTCGTCAGCCCGCTGGGCCTGGCGGGAGTGTAACCTGGAAAATCAAATGCAGAGAAGTGTCCCAAAATAGAGGAGTCTTGTTTGAGGCATGGGAGAACCTATTAGCTTGAGAAATTGGTCTGGAAATCTTATTAAAAGAGACAAATCATTCTGCTCTCTCTCCAGACTGAAAATATTGGGGTAATAGACTTTCCCTGATGCTTCGGACCCATGTCGCTCATGTCAGGATCACAGCCAGCCCCTGCCAAGGCTAACTTCAAGGCAGGTGATAAAGGCAATTATTTTTTTTTTAATGGACAGTTCTGATTAATTCTGATTTCTCTAGCCGGCCCCGGACTTATCTCTGCTCCCTCCTCATTACTGTGAAGGGTGCAACGCAGAAGAGCCAATGGCAAAGAGAAATGAAGTTCAAATTGTGGATTTGTCATTGTTGTTCAGCTCAGCAGATGATTGTCCAGTCACAGAGACCCCAGTATCCCCCCAACCAGGCACTTGTGCGCAAGTGTGCATGCACACACACACACACACACACACACACACACACCCCTACATACCCCTCCTTTCTCAATATGTCTCCCCTGATGGAGACACCTGGGAAAGCAAGCGTCCAGTGCGTTATGCAACTTAACCTTGCCCATCTTTGCTATTTTCGAGTTGTGATAAGAATCCTTACAATTTGTATTTTGGCTCTCATGATTGTAGCCTTATTTTGTTCTGGGCCCTGGCAATTTCAATAATAATATGAATTGCTGGGATTTGGTGCGGGTTGGTTCCACCCTGGCTCTGTGCTAAGAGCTTGATTCACAAGCATTGTCTCCTTTGTCCTCAGAACAGATCCACAGGAAAGAGGGTGACAAGTTTTCTGTGTGAGGAACCAGAGAGGAAATACTCTGGGCTTCGCTAGCTGTGTGGTTGTTGTAACTGCTCGACTCTGCTGTTGTCGCAGGAAAGCAACTCCAGACAATTCGTGAATGGATTAAGTCTGGCTGCGTTTCAATAAAACTTTATTGACAAAAACAGGCAGCTGCTCGGATTTGGCCTGTGTGCCAACTGCTGCTGGAGATGAATGGTGTTACCCCAAAGCTGGAATTTGGGGCTCCACAGCTTGGAAGGTGGGAGATAGATTTTTTTCTCTCTCCTACATCCTCCCTCCTGCCTGCTCTTCCTTTGTGTTTCTGCTTCTGGTGGAAAGACATTTTTACATGTGACTTTCCAGGGCGAATTGACTATTCTCTGTCAACAAAAGGGTTGGTGATTGTTTTCTTGGAAATCCTGCTTCTGTGGTAGCCATGGGGGCCACTGGGTTCCCATGGGTCACTCTGTCAATCTAGCTCCTTGACTGAAAGCTGGGGATACACAGAGCAGACCCGAGTTTTGAGACATTCCATCCCATCCCAAGCTGCTCCCTGAGCCATGGTGGGTCTTTGTAAATCCCAGCTGCATCTTCTGGCACCCCCAGGCCTAGAATCTAATGCATGCCTCTGTATCCTTGTTGGGGTGCTCCAAAGCAAGCCTGCAGCCCCAACATTAGCTCTCCTCTGTACCCCAACTCTGGGTCCTATAGCCCTGGATAGGATCCATTCCATGCCCCTTGGGAGCCAGGAATTTGCCGGAGCAAGCCTACCCTCTCTGAGCTCCTGCCACCTACCCCAATACTCTCTCCCCGACTAACGTCACCTAGTGGTTCAACAGATCCTTAGTGATGACACGCAGAAGTTTAAGGAACAATTTGTGACCTTAAAGCAGGGCTTCTCAGTTGTGTGCTGTGCTGTCAAGGACTGGATTGCTCCAGAGAAAGATATTCACGCACCCAAGGATGCCCAGCCCCAACCTAGCCTCCACTCACTGGATGCCAGAGCAGCTCCCAGTGTAACAACCCAAAATGTCTCCAGACATCGCCAGATGTCCCCTGGGTGACAAAACCACCACTAGGTGAGAACTACTGTCTTAGATTGAGGGACCACTATTGTTTTCTACACTCAGCTGTGCATTCTAATTCCTAATTCAAAAAAAAAAGGAAAAATCACAAGCCAGAGCTCTCAAGAGCATGTCATGTTCTCTCTGGTGCAAGGGAAACATAATTATGCCCACTTTGCATGTGAGAAAACTGAGCCCTGTGGGACACAGCTAGCAAGCAGCAAAGCCTGGAGGTGGACCTAAACTTGTTTGATGCCAAAGTGTGTGTGTGTGTGTATGTGTGTGTCTATATATAAACTGATCACGAAATGAACACAGTGGAGGTTTTCCTGGAATGAGAAAAAGTTTACCATGACTCATATTAATGAAAAGAAAAGCAGAGATTTTACTTCCCCTTCCCACAGAATGTTCTCTCCTGTCTGGACAGTAGCGCTTCACAGTCGATACTATTCTCCCCAGTTTACAGGTGCGGAAACTGAGGCCCAGCAAGCCTAACAAATGGTTTGAAATGAGCATTGCAAAGATTTTGAAGCCTAATATCTATGTGTTCAGACCTTTGACTTTTCCACAGCCGAAAAACAGGGTGGCTGCTCCCCACTGGGGCCGCTGAGGCTCATTTCCTACCGAGAACTCTGCCTGTCCGGCAGGTGTGTCCTGCCGGCGGGAATGAGAGGCCTCCTTGGCCTCTTGTCCCTGGCCCTGCCCGTGACCGCTTCTCTCCCCAGCTCTGTATGCAGTACTGGCCCGAGAAGACGTCCGGGTGCTACGGCCCCATCCAGGTGGAGTTCGTCTCTGCGGACATCGACGAGGACATCATCCACAGAATATTCCGCATCTGTAACATGGCGCGGGTGAGTGGGCGGCCGCCATCGCTTCCCGGGGCCCCTCCCCCCAAAACCAGATGGAGGCTCCTGCTTGCCAGCCCGGAGTCTCTGCTGTGCGCGCCCTGTCATCTCGTCCTGGGGGATGCAGGGCCTTTGCTGATGGCGGCTCCAGCGCCTGCACAGCTCCCATACTCAGATGCGCCGGGAGACACCCCGCCTGCCATCTGCCTGTTTCCTAACACACTTGCTGCCATGTAGACAAAACTCAGCGCGCAGCACTTCTCCGCTGGGTCACATTGTTTGGCCTTGAGTTAATGCAGCCCTGGATTGCATCCAGTGAGGTTTGGGGCTAGACCCTGGGAACACCGGGATGGAAGATAATAGGTGAGATTCACTGGCCAGGTGCGGGGTGGGGAGCATGGAGTGAGAAGGAAAAATTAGTGGCTATGAAGTGGTGGCTAATTAAGCCACTCTGGCCTTTCCTGGGAAACCAGGGCAACAGAGCTCAGTCCTGCCCACCAGGGAAGGGGACTTGTGATCTGGTACTCAGAGGACCTCGGGAGGGAGATGAACTCTACCCGTTAGGCAGGGGAGGCTTTTCTAGAGAAGGGACTGTTGAATGGGGTTTTGAAGACAGGGCAGGAGTTTTCCAGGTAGGGAAGGGGTGCCAGGCAGTCATGGCAGGAGAACCAGTGTGCACAGAGGCGAGGAGGGCGGGGTCTGAGGCTGGTCCCCGAGGACCTGGCATAGCCGTTGAGTCGCTGCTGCTGCATCATGCGGCCCCCAGGGCTCCCGGGGCCTTTGCGCCCGCAGCCAAACGGCTCTCATGGCCTCTCTGCTCTCAGCCACAGGACGGGTATCGCATCGTCCAGCACCTGCAGTACATCGGCTGGCCGGCCTACCGGGACACGCCGCCCTCCAAGCGCTCGCTGCTCAAGGTGGTCCGGCGGCTGGAGAAGTGGCAGGAGCAGTATGACGGCCGGGAGGGACGCACCGTGGTCCACTGCCTGTGAGTACCGGGGCGAGCGCCCCAGGGCGGTGTGAGGGCAGATAGGGCGTCCTGGAGGACCCCACCTTCCTGAAAGGCCAAAGGGTGTGTCTTCAAGGAATGAAGCCTGTTGCCCTGCGCTATTGTTGTGTGACAATAGCATGACAAATCACTGACACAAAAGCTGGAGGCCTTTCCATAGTCCTGGGGTGGGCAGAACACCCTCCTGGGGGAGGCTTGATGTGCCCCACTATTTTTTAGGATTTTTATTTTTGCGTAGAACTGGGGTATAGGCCAGGGGTGAGGGAGTGAGGATTCACCAGAGAGTGGGGAGCAGAACAGGCAGCTCTACTGCTGAGGGGAGCAGCAGGCAAGACAGGAGAGGTCTGCTGTGCCATGTGGGTCGAGCCCTGGCCAGGAGTCAAACTCATAGCACTGAGCCTTAACCCTTAGGTCACCAGAAAGCCCCAACCCTGCTAGTCTTAAGAAAGCTCAGGAAAAAGGGGTTCCACTGACTGGATACTCCTCTGTTGTTTACTGAAGGAGAAAAAGAGGAAAGGAAATACACCAATTTAATGAGTTTAATGTCATTTTAATGACTCAGCTCACTCCCTCTGTGAGGTAGAGGCTGTCAGGTTGTCATGAGAAAACAGAGGTATGGATGGGGCCAGGGGTCAGGGCATGATGAGAGGAGCCCTGATGTGAACCCGAGCAGCTGTGCTGTCCATTAATCCCATCTGCTCTGAGGAACACCAGGGGCCCTGCCCTCTGGCTGCGGGGCGTCTCTCACTATGGGCGTAGGGGGCGTGGGCGGCCCTGGGAGCAGGCCTGCCCCGGGCAGCTGTGTTCACGCCTCCATTCCTGGGTGACTGAGCCAGTGCCCGGGGCTCCCAGGCCAGGAGGCCCAGAGGCCACGCTGCAGGTGGGGTGTCAGGACCCCTCGAGGACGATGGGGGAAAGTCACTGCCTTGGGTGAGCCTCCGTCTCCCCATCTGTCCCACACCGCGGTGCAGTCACCTGAAACAGAAAATCATTTATCTCCCAACACCGAGACCCCCTCTGTCATGGTGACAGACACGCCAGTGCTGTGGAGGTCGAGGCTCCAGGGCGGGGTCAGCCGGGATCTCAGGCCCAAAGCAGATGCACCGACCCCCCAAGCTCTGGGGGGGCCCCTGGACTCACCATCTGCTTGGCTTCTGAGCGTGTAGAACAACTTGGGGAGAAGGGACGGAGGGACCTTGCTCTTTAAAACCGTCTGTTCCTGGATGTTTGAGCCAAGGGCTTCCCTTTGATAGAATCAACATGGCTGGAGCCAGGAAAAGCTTTGATAACATTTTTCTGGGCTCAGAATTGGGCTCAGTCTTTCTGAAACCAGCTTTTTGTTCCTCCTGCTTCCAGTCGTTGGTGCGCACACAGGTCAGGGAAGTTGGAAAGAGGAAGGACTTGAGAGCAGGAGCTGGGGGGGGGGGGGAGGAAAGGACATGGAGGGAGGGAGGAGGTGGGAAGAGAGATGCAGAGACATGGGGGGGAAGTGAGAGGGTAGAGGGGGAGGAGAGAGGACAGATCCAGAGATGCAAGGGGAGAGACAGAGAGAGCAGCAGAGAGGGGGAGTAGGACTCTGAGGCAGAAGAGACTGAGAAAGAGAAGAAAGAGGGGGAGTGAGAGGGGGAGAGAGAGCTGGAGAGTGTAGGAGAGGGTGAGGAAAGAGAGAACAGAGCAGGGAGGGGTGGAGAGTGTAGAGAGAGGAGTCAGATGAGAAACAGGAGAGACAGAAGAAAGAGGAGAGGGGAGAGGAGGGGAGAAGAGAGGTGGGAAGAACAGAGGAGAGGAGGAGGGAGAGGATAGGATATGAGGAGAACTGAGGGGAGGGAGATGAGTAGTGAGAGGAGAGAAGGGAGGAGTAGAGGAGGGAAGAGAGGAGGGGAGAGGATGTGAGGAGAGGAGGGAGAGGATGGAAGAGGAGAATGGGGAGTAGAGGAGAGGAGAGGATGGGAGAAAAGAGGAGGTGAGGGGAGAAGATGTGAGGAGAGAAGATGTGAGTAAAGGCGAATATGTGAGGGAAGGAGAAGTGAGGAGACGGGAGAGGAGAGGAGAAGAGGTGAGGAGAAGATGTGAGGAGAGAAGATGTGAGGAGTGGAGAAGAGGTGAGGAGAGGAGTGGGTAGGAGCGGAGAAGATGTGAAGACGTGAGGAGTGAAGAGGAGAGGTGGAGAGGAGTGGACAAGATAAGAGGAGAGAAGGAGAGAAGATGAGAGGAGAGGAGAAGAAGTGAGGAGACGAGTGGAGAGGAGAGAAGATGTGAGGAGAGGAGAGGAGAAGATGTGAGGAAGGAGAAGAAGAGAGGAGAGGAGAAGATGTGAGGAAGGAGAAGTGAGGAGAGGAGAGGAGAAGATGTGAGGAGTGATGAGGAGAGGAGAAGATGTAAGGTGAGGAGTGGAGAGGAAAGGAGAAGAGAGGAGAAGATGAAAGTGAAAGGTGAGGAGAAGAGGATAGGATAGGAGAAGCTGTGAGGAGTGGAGAGGAGAGGAGATGTGAGGAGAGGAGGGGAGGGGAGAAGATGTGAGGAAGGAGAAGAAATGAGAATATGTGAGGAGAGTAGAAGATGTGAGGAAGGAGAAGAAGTGAGGAGAGAGGAGAAGATGAGAGGAGAGGAGATGTGAGGAGAGGAGAAGAAGAAGTGAGGAGAGGAGTGGAGAGGAGAGAAGTTGTGAGAAGATGAGAGGAGAGGAGAAGATGTGAGGAGAGGAGGGGCGAGGAGAAGATGTGAGAAGAGGAGGGGCGAGGAGAGGAGAGGAGAAGATGTGAGGATAGGAGAGGAGAGGAGAAGATGTGAGGAGTGGAGAGGAGAAGAGGAGTGGAGAGGAGAGGAGAAGAGGAGTGGAGAGGAGAGGAAAAGATGTGAGGAGAGGAGAAGAGGAGTGGAGAGGAGAGGAGAAGATGTGAGGAGAGGAGGAGAGGATAGGAGAAGAGAGGAGAGGAGAAGATGTGAGGAGTGGAGAGGAGAAGAGAGAAGATGAGAGGTGAGAGAAGAGAGGAGGAGAGGAGAGGAGAAGATGAGAGGAGAGGAGAAGATGTGAGGAGTGGAGAGGAGAAGAGAGAAGATGAGAGGTGAGAGAAGAGAGGAGGAGAGGAGAGGAGAAGATGAGAGGAAAGGAGAAGATGAGAGGAGAGGATTGGAGAGGAGAATATGTGATGAGAGGAGTGGGGTGGAGAAGAGAGGAGAAGATGTGAGGAGAGGAGAGGAGTGGAGTGCAGAGGAGATGTGAGAGGAGAGGAGAGGAATGGAGGAGGGGAATGCAGAGGAGATGAAAGGAGAGGAGAGGAATGGAGGAGGGAGAAGAGAATGGGGAAAGGAGGGGGAGGGGAGAAAGGAGAGGGGGGAGAGGGGAGGTGGACCAGAGGGAAGAGGAGAAGAATGGAGAGGAGAGGAGTGGACAGGAGAAGAGGAAGAGGGAAGTGAGAGGAAAGGATGGGAGGAGGAGAGGAGTGATGGGAAGAGGAGAGGAGGAGAGAGGAGAGCAGAGTTGGGGAGAGAAGGGAGAGGCTGTGAGGAGGGGAGAGGAGAAGAGAGGCGGGAAGGTCCGAGGAGAGGAGGGAAGAGGAGAGGAGTGGACAGGAGGGGAGAGGAGGAGAGGAGTGGCCAGGAGGAGGGAAGAGAAGAAAGGAGGGGAGGAGGAGAGGAGGGAAGAGGAGAGGAAGAAAGAGGGGGGAAGAGGAGAGGAAGAGGGGAGGGAGATGAGTAGTGAGAGGAGGGGAGAGGAGAGGATGGGAGAGGAGAGGAGGGGGCAGGGGAAGGAAGAGCGGAGGGAGAGGGGAGGGGAGGAGAGGAGCGGGGAGGGAGGGGAGAAAGCCAGAGAGAGACTCACCTCTGCACCAGCCTCCTGCCCGGGCTTCCAGGAAGCGGCTGGGGGCGTCCTGTGTCTGGCTGGGGTGAAGTCTGTGCTGCACCGGAAGTGCAGAGCTACCCGTTCCCTCTCACCCCTCCCCATACTCCCCATACTCCCGTGGCCCCATCTTTTCTACAGAACCCCCCATCCCCCTCCCTCCTGGGACAGAGGCCCCTGCACCTGCTCCCCTCACCAGCCCCTGCGGTCCCTGCGGTCCCTGCCTCGGGGACACTCTCTGTCCTGCCGAAGCTGGGCGTCCCCCGCCTCCCCTGCCTTCCCCCGTGGGGGTCTCACCTGGGCTCTCCCAGCAGCGCCTCTTGGGTGCCCGGTGCTTGGCGCCAAGGGCGAGCACAGGGTCGTCTGCCCGCAGGGGCCTTGGGGCGGGAGCACCAGGACCAGGACAGGTGTGAAGCGCAGACCCTGCCCCGGGCCCTCTGCCCTGGGAACATCTGGACCCGGAGGTCCCGCAGAGAAGACATCTGGGCGGCCGACTCGGCCTCCGGGTCTGTCCAGATGTTCTCGGGACACAGACCATTACGAGGAATCATGAGTTGCTCTTGGCAGCACGCCCGGGAGTGTCAAAGCAGGCAGGTTCCTACGGGGGCGTTCTGAGGAGAGCTGGAGGGGTGTTGCCACGAAGGTGACTTATGGGGCACCGCAGAGAAGGGGTAACGGAGGGCGGCCCCTGCCCGGAGCCCTCCCCCCCCCCCCCGTTTTCTAGAGCAGGAGTCTGGCCAAACCAGGGTGCACCAATGGGGACCTGTCACCTCAGGAGATGTCTCAGAGCCCCCCAGACCCCCAGGGCTGGGCTGACCGGCCCCGCACAAACAGGGGTGTCTCCGGGGCGGGCGGCCTTAGTGGATGGGAGAACTGGAAGGAAAATCACTTGGCACCTTCCGCTCATCTTCACTGGAGGTGGGGGTGCCCCAGAGCATCCTTCCGGACAAAGGTACAGCGAAGGCCTGCAAGGACACACTCCATGCCCCCCGGGGGTTCGAGCCCCGGTGCCACGGTAACGAAAGCCTCCGCAGAACCCGGGACCCCACCCGCCTTGTGGCCAAACCCTTCCTTACACGAATGGGCGCGCGGCTTCTGCGCCTGCCGAGGTGGGGGCCGGAGCACCCGCTGCCCGGGGCGGCCCTGGACTCTGACTCACCCCCTTCCTCTGTGTCTAGAAACGGGGGAGGCCGCAGTGGAACCTTCTGTGCCATCTGCAGCGTGTGCGAGATGATCCAGCAGCAGAACATCATCGACGTGTTCCACGTGGTGAAGACGCTGCGCAACAGCAAGGCCAACATGGTGGAGACGCTGGTGAGTGGCCAGCGCGCGGGCGAGCGGCCTCCGCAGACGCTGCAGGGAGCAGGGAGAACGCGGGGCATCTGGGTGCCTGTTGAGCACCCGCCCTCTGCCGCCCCGCAGCCTCCCTGGCTTCCTCCGGGCCTCCTGCCCGCAGGGCAGTGCAGGTGTTGCCCTGGGGGCCCTTAGCGTCCCCCTAATCCTGGACGAGGGGACGGGCCTCTGGGCGAGCAGCGGTGCGGGTGATGGGTCTACGTCAGCCCCATCCTGCTCGCCCACTGGGTGCTGGTGTGGGCAGAGCAAAACTGGACCCCTTCCGCAGCTGGGGGCCTGGGCACTGTGGGAGACGGGAGGGGAGAGGCTGGAGACCAGCGGCCGGTGAGACGGGGCGCGTGATACATGAGCAACCGTCGTCTGTGACGACCGCTCAGAGCGGGGTGCTCCTCCAAGCCTGGGCCCTAGCCCCACACCAGCACCTCCTGGGAGCTGACCCGACATGCGGAGCCCTGACCCCCACGGAGTGCAACCCTGACCCCCATGGAGTGCAGACCTGACCCCCACGGAGTGCAACCCTGACCCCCACAGAGTGCAGACCTGACCCCCACGGAGTGCAGACCTGCAGCCACAGATCCCGACGCGGGCTGCGGGTGCGGGGTGTTCCCAGCAGCGAGGGGAGGCGTTAGTGACCCCCGCTGGGCAGCCACGGCCGTTTTGGGTGGACGCAGGCCCGGGGCAGACCTCGGATGGGTCCCCAGGTCGGGGGGATTCCCGGGCACGTGTAAATTGAGTGTCATGCGGCAGTGGGGGGCTCCCGCAAATCCTGTCTCTAAACTAACCGCATGTTCCCTTCCCTGTCCCTCTCTCCCTGCCCCCCGCTTCCTCCCCGCTCCCCTCCTCAGGAACAGTATAAATTTGTATATGAAGTGGCGCTGGAATATTTAAGCTCCTTTTAGCCCAGAGGGATGTGGAGCCTGCCAGAGCCCGGGCTGTGCGGCCTCACCCCCTTTTCTGTGGACAGCGGGGACTGGCGGGGGCTGAGGGCCGCCGGCCCCACTCCGGGAGAAGACTGGCGGCCAGGGGGGGCTCTGCGCCTCCAAGGACTCGACTGTGCCAGGGGAGAGGCTGATCTCCAGCGCCCAGGCTTCCCTTCCACACCCGGCCGGCACAGCCCCGGGCCCCCGCAGAAATGCACCCACAACAAGACCCCGATTCTTCGGTCCCCAGACCTCTGGCTTTCGCTCTTTTTCCAGTTTGTGAAGCTCCTGGCAAGCCGGCTGTGTGGGTGCTGGGGAGCCACAGGCTTGGGGCACCTCCCCTGCCCCGCTTCTCCCTGGGAGTGGGGGGGATGTGCGTTCTACTGCTCCCAGCTGTCCTGGGAAGGATTGGCTCTTGGGGTCACTGCTCTGCTGGCCCCTAAAAATCTCCTTCAGGGACCCCTGGCCCCAGATACCTGCCTGTCTGGATCAGTGTGACCTCAGGGTGCTCCCGAGACCATGGCAGAGGCCCCTCCTCACTCCTCACCTGCATGGGGCTTGGCCCACCACCACTCTGCACCCCTGCCAGGCCTGGGCCTCGACTCCGCCCTGCACTGGGCAGCCGCAGTGCCCGCGCTCTTCAGTGAGGCCCGCTCTGCTCTGTGCTCAGTGGGAGGGGCTGGAAACTGCAGGACACTCGGCTGCCCCCACCCCTTGTCTTCGTGAACAGGGACCACCTCCCTGGGCGTTGGGCTCTGGCTGACCCTGTGTCACCTGGGCGGTGGCTTCCTTTGGGAGAAGCGATTGGGTTATTTCCCAAACAGTCTGTGAAAAGAAACTGTCTCTGGGGGGTGGTGCAAGATCTTAGTCTCTGCGTCAGAACGAAAGGGGGCGGGAAGTTTGAACGTGTAGCTAAAAGACAAATCCCAAGGACTCACCCCGGATGGCACTGCCGGGAAGCAGGGGAGAGGATGGCTTATCTGGCGCTGGTCCCGCGGTCTCCGGGGCAGCCAGGGCATCAACTTGCTGTGTCGTCTTGGATCATCAAATGCCAACCTGGAGAAACCCAGCTGCCATCTCCCGAAAGCCACCATGGGAGATGTTATACTTTGGTTGAAAATAGGCCAGTGGGGGTCAGGCTTGAGGACCCAGGGTCCCGCCCAGAGTATGGAGGAGTCCACAAAAAGGGAACCAGCACCAGCATTCATTAAGCACCTACTGTATGCCAGGCCTGGCACTTTTTGCGGAACATCTCATGCAATCTTAGAACTCCCCTAAGAGAGCAATTAACCCGCTGCCCTCTCCAGTCCACAATCGAGGAAACTGAGGCCTCTTCCTTAGAGATGAAATTCTAGGTTCCCACCAGGCAGGCAATGGCCATGAGACTTAGTCCTACTGTTTTGTCCACTCTTTTCCACCAGTTATTTTATAGAGGGAAAATAAGGCCAGGAGCTTCTGAGCAGAGAACTCCACAAATGGAAATGTAGTTCTTTCTTTCAGATGCCAGTTCTTCCAGGAGACCCAGAATTTCAGATATGTTTGAGTAACTCTCCCAGCACCCCAGGAAGCTAGCCTCATCTAATTTCTTAGCCAGTGAAAACAATTCCCTGTTCCCTCAGGCGCTGAGGTCTGCTGGCCAGGGATGCCTCTCTCCCTTGGTCTGACAGCCTCAGGCTGGCCCGGCTGAAGGACGCTCCAGGTGGAGGCTGGCCCAACCCCAGCCAGGGCAGGCAGCACGCAGAACACGAGAGGCCGCAGTGTAGAGCTCACTGTAGACTGGGGAAAGGGAACCACAGAACATGGTCGGCAGAGTGTATGCGTGTTCCATAAGCCTGGGAGGAACAGAGACTGCCTAGGGCTTCCCAGAGGAGGTGATATTCATGCCAGCTGGGCCTCAACAGGAAAAGGAAGAAAAGGACATTGAGGCCAGGGGGCCCCATGTGCAATGGCACAGAGGTGTGAAAAATCCTTGAGGGGGTGGTGGTGAGTGGGAGGTGAGCCCAGCTAGAGCATCACACAGCCCAACGTAAGGCAGCTGGGCCTGGTCAAGGGAGGGAAGCCCCACCCAGGGTGCAGGCTGCCCCAGAGGCCACATAGAGTGGGGTGGCTTGCAGTGATGCGCCCAGCTCCGTGCTGGAGCACACCCCCCCAGACCAGTGGGGCTGCCTCTTCTCCTTTCATCAGACACTGTGAAAACATCCCCTTTGGCGTGTACTTTTCCATATGACATCTATTTGTCTGTCTGCTCATTATTTTGTTGCTGGAACAAAATCAGTGGCAGAGCATGAAACTCAGCTTCTGTGAGAAACTCAGAGCCTCTGCTCCACCCAGGAGCAGGATGACCTGCCTCTGGGGCCATGAGGATGGGACATGAAAGGCGCCCACAGACGCTCTCTCAGGAGCACTGGCTCTGGAGCAATCTGGGAGTTCAGGGACACCAGACTTGATCAAGGAAGGGCTGTCACTTTGGAGGTTCAAAAGGAAGCATCTCAAAGCAAAGGAAGGCAAAGGAGCTCCATGACAAACCTGCTCTCCCCCTTTGATGCACCTTGTCCCGAGTGTGCTTGAGCAGCCCCCCACCCCCACCCCCACTGGCCTGCTGGCTCCCAGCTCCAGCCGCTGCCCCAGCCGTCCTCCCCAGCCTTCCCGGAGCCTGCAGCACAGCAAATCCACCTGTTAGATGCAGTTCTCTCAGATGTTGGCTCATCCATACAGACTGGGGAGGAGGTAGAGTCTACCCAACACAATTCCAGGATTTCTGTTGCACAGGATGGGATCAAATAACTGGCAAATAAAAAATGACAGTGAATTCTACCATTTCCAATGCTGGGAATTTAAAGTGTGCCTTCTGGGAGAAGGAGAACTGTAAAAGCTCAGGCCATGTGGGGTGACCCAGCTCCTGTGCCCACAACCCAGCTACCCTCCAGAGAGAGCAGGGGGGGAACAGGCCTGAGGCCAGTTTACAAGGGAAGAAAGTAGTGGCAGGACCGGGATGCAATGAGGCACTGGTACCCAGGAATTTGGACTTGATCCCGCCCCCAAAGGAGACCTCTGGACCAAACACCACCTCCCGTAAGATGCCTCCTCACCTCTCCCCACCCCATTGATAAGGCGAGCTCACCTTTCATGATGCAGGAAAATTAATGCTCTCTGAGTCCCCACAACAGGAGCTAACCTCTTTCTCTAGGTGCCCCCAGAGAGCCCCCACATTTAGCACAGTGCCTCCTGGTTTTCACCTCCTGGGTAGGGATGCTGTTTGGAGAAGACACAGGGAATTAATGAGAAGCCAGGAGTTGTCCCTGCCTGCACATGGCTAGATAGCTTCAGGATGTTACATCAGCTGCACCCCAACTCTATCCTCTCATCCTTTCTGTGTGAAGATCCTGGGTATGCCAGGGCCCCCTGAAGGGCCACAGCCTGTCAGCCTGTGTGGGAGAAGTTTGCTTTTACTGCTGGCCCTCTCTCGGGTATGGCCTGAGCAACAGTTGTCAGCTTCTGGAGCCAGCAGACTTGTGCTGGGGGGTCTAACATGCAAGTGCTCTGAATTCTTCCAACATCCCCAAGAAATATTTGTGATCAAGGATGAGGAAACTAAAATTCAGTTCAGGGGAGAAATGACTTAAGTGTCCCCAGTTGCACAGCTAATATAAACGAGGGAGCCAGGATTTAAATTGATCAAAGACATCATTTTTCCATCATTGTGTCTCATCTTTTCCCTTAATCTCCCATGGCAGCAAAGACAAGAGTGAAACAGATCCAGATCCAGAATCTTGTAGAATCCATAGCAGACAGAAGCTTAAAATCCTTGTTTCAGTTACTTTTAAATTACTTTAGTAATTCATGCAGTATTTGCATTCTAGTCTAATTTAGCTTATTTGTTTTGAATACAACCATTTAATTTTTTTAAGTCCTGAGCCCAGTCCCTCATGTGACTTTGATTCCTCAGCCCACTCTGATCCCAGGAAATTACATCCCAAGCTGAGAAACTCAGTGGCCAGCCATGCTGCTTCCTCCTGAGGTCAATTCTAGATTCAAGCTCAAAGCCAGCTCATTGTCCCAGGCAGGCGCTTTGATGTCAGTGGCCAGGTCTCCTCCAGTCCGATGCTGGAAGGAACCTATGGACATGGACTAGAATGATGAAGACTTGCCCATATGGCATGGTGAAGGCTGAGGGGACACTGCCTAGTGATGTCTAGAAGGTCCACCACTTAATTTCACCCATGCACACTTACTGGGTTCCTACAACATACAGTTCTAGGGCCCCTGGGAGGGTGCCACCAGAAAGCACAGGTTATGATGGCACATCCCATCCTTGGTGAGGCCTGGGGTTGTGGTGGAAAGAGTCCAGTCTTGGGTCTGAAATCCAGTCTTGCCATTTATTGGCTATAGAATGTGGACAAGTAGTTACTGGAAAGATGAATGGGCCTGGTGGAAGGGGCAGATCTAGACAGCTCTGGGCAGGAAAATCAGAAGGTAAGATCAAGAAATTGGGACCTAGCAGGAATACTCAGAAGCAAGGATGCCTGTGGACTACCAGGCAAAGTGGGCACCTCTCCCGCAAGACAGGGGGTGGAGAAAGGCTGGCCAGACCACTTGCAGCAAGGAAACATGCTGCTTTAGAACAAGCCTCAATGTCTTTTAGAAAAGATGATCATTTTTCCTTTGACCAATCATGTCTTTTCATTCTCATTTCCCATTGCTAAAGTTGCTCCTCCCGTGTGTTCTCACCAGGACCTGCATGTCCTCTGCTCTGGTGTGAATCCCTGGTGTGTATATACAGGCGTCAGTCTAGCAGGGTTCCCACAGACAGCAGAAATGGCACCCAGGGGGAGCAATCAGATGCTTATCATCTCACCCTGTGGAAGTGACCACCCAGCCAAGATGCAGAGACAGTGAAGGCTATGACAGCTACCCTGCGCCTCACTGCCTTACAACAGGATGAAGACGCCTTCTTCCCTTAGCCCATAGCTGCCCACTCCTAAGCTGTGCAAGCAGGCCGTTAGCCCCAAAGAGTCATGAGTCAAGCTGTGGGAATGTGGGTGAGCCCACGGACAGGGTAAGCAGGGTGGTAATCCTAAACCAGGAGGCCAAGATAGTATGCTGGGTCAAAATACCTGGGGACAAATGGTTAACCCACATTGCAGGGTGGATCAGAGAGGAGATATGAGTCATGTGGATGGATATTTTATCTTACAGTCCTGACTTATCTTCCCCTCATCTAACTAGTCTCAACTTCTCAGCCAATGTGGACAGCTCCAGATCACAGACAAATAAAATAGGGAAACAGGCAAAGTAGACCCAATTAGAGGTGACCACTGAGATTCAGCCTTGTTGCTATATTCCCACGCAAGGTCTCTGTGTGGGAGATTTTCCATGAAAACATGCCTAGCAGTGTAAGATGCAAGGCTTTACATAGCAGGGATCTGCCTTTGAGTGTTTGTACTGTCTGAGTGGCAGTGAGAGAAGTCAGTGGCAGAAAGTAGAGAGGAGCACTAGAGCTCCAGTTTCCTCTTGACACATATTTAAGGGTCATGGATATGAATCTCAGAAGCACAGTGAGAGGTCAAGTCGTACCTGTGTATATGAGCACACTTTCTACTAGTTCACTGGTAACCAAGGGTAGACTTTTGTGTGGGAGTAGCTAGCTGTACAATTGACTTGTAGAGACCAAAACTGTCTCTTGCATCCTTTCTGCCCACCTCCAGAAGATGTGGGTAAGGTTACAGAGGGTTCACATTCTCCCTCTGAAATCCGCCCTCAAATGTTAGATACCCAAGATGTGGATTCATACCCACAATGACAGACCCCAGTCCAGGCAGCACAGATATCTAGGAGAGTGTGGTGACCTACTGGGGCTGATAAAAAAGGATGTCAAAGAACTCAGGATGAAAGAGGGTTTATAGGGAAGAGTTGTTGGGACTGGATTATCATGGAACTTTCTGGATCTGAGAGATGTGCTAAGTGATAGGATTTGGACCCTGGTCATTGATTGAATGTTCAGAGGAAGAAGGTCTGGGAGCCTTAGATTGTTAAAGACAGGAAAGTGCCAAAAGCCTTGAGCTCAAAGTAAGTAGTTTAATTATTGGTTCCTTGGGGAGCTGGAGTCCCAGTTGGGGGGGGGGGAAGGAGAATGTGAAATAACCTGCCAAAATTGCTAAATTGAGTCCCTCTTCAGTGCCTTTGGACTTGTGAATACAAATCAGTGGACCTCCTTACGAGGTCCAACAAAATCTCAGTGCCCCACCCACAATGACCCTCTCTCTCCCCTGAAAGATCAATCATGTAAGGTGCTCCTTGGATCAAAGACTCTAAGGCAGTGTGAAGACTCAGAGGGCAAAGTAATGTCATGCCAAATCAGTCTTCTGAAGGATGAGGAAAAATACTAGTGCCCATGTCCTCCAAGGTCTGCAGATTGTTGGGCAAATTTAAGCATGGCCTGCTAATCCCAAGTCACCCCAATGAGTGGAACTAGGACCAATAATTGGCACTTAATAGCTGTCAGGAAGAACTTGCTGTCTGCCAGAGAGGATGAAATGCCCATCTCAGCTGTAGGCCAGCAGAAGCCGGATATCTCTTTAGGGCAGAAGGAGCATTGCTGAGTTTGCTTTTAAGTTGCTTTCACCCGAGATGAATGAGATTTTATGGATCTGGGTCCATGTTTGAACCTTTCATTCTTGCAGAGCATAAAACCAAGCAGGCTCTTCTTTCCAAGTCTCCCCATCAGGCAGGCCAAGAGGCTGTTCTGGCAACTAGTCTAGAGCTCAGCCAAGCTGGTTGATACCAAACAGCCCAAAGAGAACAGCTGCTTTGACGTAGACAGTGCCCACCAAGATCTCTGATCAGACAAACTAAGTCAGACCCTGGCCGACAGGGTCATCAGTGACAGCCAGAAACTGTAAAAGTCTATGCGGGACCCAGAGCAGAGCTTTCCTTACCCCAGGCATTATCTCCAGAGGTTAATTCTATCCCTCTCCCCTTACTCCCCACTCGAGGCCTGCTGAAGCAGATTGCAAAAGCACAGCAATTCAGTTAACACATCTATAACCAACCCAGAGCATCGATTTCATTGCCAGGTGGCTCCTAGTCCAGCCGAGGTTAATCCAGGCTAACGCATATTGGCAATCAGATCCAAAAGTACTTTTCTACCTTCTTTTCACCCTACATCCTACTAGCCAATGAAAGGCAAAGAGTTGGGGCATCTACCATTGCCTTGGCCCCTGGAAACCATCATAGCCCTCCAAAGGCCATCATGGGATTCCCACTCAACTCCAGGGACACTGACGTTGTCACATCCACTGGGCAGATGATATTGCATGAGACCAGAGTCTCCACACTGTTTGCAGCCTCCTCCATGAATCCCAATGGCCTGCACTTGTACAGTTTGGGTGTTTGATAGATAAGGCACGTATGAGAAGAGAAAACAAAATAAATCAAGTTTTTTTAAAAAGCCAGCACTGTGCTGTCAATGTTCTTTTTTTTTTCCTTTTCCTTTCCAATTCTAGCTTCAAAAAACAGAAGGTAAATAATGTCAGGTCAATGAATATCAGATATATTTTTTGACTGTACATTACAGTGAAGTGTAATCT